CCCAGGAAAAGACATTCTTGCCTTTCAGATCAAGATCTCTGCATGGTTCTAGTATCTATTCTGAGAACCAATCTAGATATACAGTTTGGTCTCCTAAGTGGGGAGGGCCTTTGTGCACATTATGGAAGAAAAACAGTTAGAGAGGTCCACATGTTTAATAGGGAAGTGGACAGCATACATATAATCCTTTCACACGAAGGAATTTTCAGAGCAATAAATCCAGTTGATCGTATGGATAAAATGAGTGAGTATTGTGAATTGGAGAATATATATTAAATCTAGGTTTGAAGAGACTGTCTTGCACTACCATACATGACAGCAGTATGTAAGGATTCCAGCTGCATCTAGAAAAACAGTGAAAAAACTAGTGTTAATAATGAGAGATCTTGAAGCCAATCTACTAAAAAATAGTTGTAGGATCTGTAGGCAATGAGACTGCAAGGGAGTTAGAATCCTTTTATGCAAAATATGGAGCATATTTATTTCCTGTTGCTGCATTTCCCATTCCTGCAGAAGCCAAGGTTAGAACTAAGGGATAAAAACTGCAAACTTCCTAACAGTATTTAACAATGGATCAATTTAACAATTGGGAAAGACACTGTTTCCTCAGTGGAGACTTTTAAGAAAATATTTGTCCAGAATACTCCAGTTGTATTTTGTACTGCAGATCTGTAACATATCAAGAAGTGGGCCCTGTATCTTTTAATTCTGTCCATCAACAGTTGGCTGAGTTGCTGCTAGGAATTGTTGCTTATTTCATAGGTTGTTCACCAATTAGTTGTTAGGAAGTGCTTTTTAATCAAATTAGTATATATTTTTGACTGCATTAACATGGTTAGCTAGAAGTGGAGCTTTTTGTTACAAGGTGATATATTTCTTGTTCCCACTTACTGGAAATAATGAAGGACATCTGGTCTCATAGTCTGTGAGCTTTATCTGAATGGTTATTTTGGTTAGTCTGAGCTTGGAATACCAATTAATGATGATATTTGCATTTAATAGTCTTTACATTTATGCTGTTTTGAGTTACTGCTCAGTTATTTTAAAGGATTACAAGCCATTATAACCCTTTTTAAAATATTATTTCCTAGAAGATTAAAATACGAGCAGCTGGAAATTCAGCAGAATCCACTGTAGTGCAATTTACAGGTGGGGTATGAGTGTATCTGTAAGGCATCCTGGTGATGATGTAGATTTCACAGAGAACTAAATTAATCCCTCTTGAAAACCTCCATTTTTTTTTCAGCTTGTGGCAGTTGCCACAAATACTTACATTAAAAGCCCTTTTAATCCCCCGAACAAAATTAATTTGCTTTAGTGTTCAGTCTGATTTTCAGTTTGAATGTTGGTGTTTTCATGGAATCTTCTGGTAGGCAACTCAGTATTTGCATTGCAGTTTTTTAATTGTCATTTAAAAAAAAATTGAAACCTTTTTAATTTAATGGATCAAAATATTTCACCTGATAAATATTCTATATAAATATAGAGTAGTGTACTCAACAATATATGTATATTATGACTTCCGGTTTGGGTTGCAGTGGCTGTAGGCACACGAAGAGGCTCTCTCTCTTCGTTACCTGCTTTTCCTCTGCCGGTAGACCCTTAACCGGGTTGAAAAGTCACCCTGGAGGGGTGACTACCGATGAGGAGGACTCTCGTTGATTGCGGGGGGAGGAGGCAGCTCCTTCCGCGGTCCGAGGCAGCTCCTCGGGGCCAATGGAGAGAAAGATCGGCCAGTAACATGGCCGATTATTTAGCTGCTCCAACTGAAAGTCAAAAGAACATCTAAGCATTAAGAAACCATCATGGATGATCCCGGTGAGATTTTTCCCTCTCTCCTTCTGCCTAACTACTCTCCTGTCAAAAGCCTTTTGGAATTACTTCCCTGCTTTGAAAGAGCTGCCTTTGTTTATCTGGGGAAAAGAGCTTTCCATAACAAAGGAAAAAACTTCTTATTGACTATTTTTACTTTTGGCTACTTGGGGGTCCTGGAAAAATCCTTGTCATAAAACTTTATCTTCTAAGCTGGAGAATAGTGTCTTCCTATGTTTTGGACTTACTTTTTTAAAGGGATAAATCTTTATTGTTTGAAAACAACAACAACAACTCTATGAGAAGCTGGAAAAGAGACTCCATAGCTCTGACTTTGCTAATCTCATTCTTGATGTCTGGAAGAGACTTTCATCTCAGACTTACTGAGGACATCTTGTGGAGAAATTTAATTGTAACTGTTTCTTGTTTGTGTTACTATTGAAAAGGAGAAATCATACTCACAACTCAACTGTAAACTCATATTGGAAAAAATTTATGAAGCTACTGAGGAAATATGTTCCCAAATAAGAGAGAGAACTGCAGAAATAATAAACAGAAATTTTACTGTGAATTTACAAACTGACCTTCAGACTCTACATGATTATTCTACAGACCAAAAAGCAACAGAAGAAGAATTAATTTACATACAACCTATGGAGACTTTGGATAACCAAAAAATGATTGTAACTAAACTATCTACAATTGCAAAACTAACAGAAATGGACTTAAAATTACAACTGTTGGAGAATTATGACAACCTTGATAATCAACTATTAATTATAAAATTGGATATGATTGAGTGTTTTATCCAGCAAACAGGAATCAGGCATCAAAAACAGAGGATGGGAGGTCTTTTACTGACCTAAATGATATTACAAGCAATAATGGGAGATCTATTTGCTGAAATAGAGGCTTTGTAATGGAAGCCTGCTTGCTTTAGGAAGAAAGCCAGAATAAGACTAAAAAGAGAAATTTAAAATTATATGTAATGGATTAAAAAGGTTTTGAGAAATATGTACTGATTTAAAGATTAAGATTTAGAGTTGAAAATTTGTGATTATTAGAATATATATGTTAAACAGAGTAAGAATGTATTTTCTTGAATAATATGTTTATTTGTAGGAAAATTGTTTCGTAATGGAATGAGAATAAGAATATGAAAGAGGCTTTTCGAAATTCAGATAGCTTTAACAACTAATTGAGTGTGTTAAGTTAGTAAGACGATGTTTTGTGTAATAATAGATGTGTTCTTTTTTTAGATATGATAATCAGTTGAATGAGATTTAAATGCTATTTGAAGTAATAAGAGAGCTCTCTGATAAAATCAATGGCTTATGAGATTATGAATTATAATATATCTGGATTAGTATTTTAAAAGGGATACCCAAGTGATAATACATTTATCTAAGGTTAAATTGGACTATGGTAATTGTAAATTAATAAAGCTCAAAACAGGATTAGGATTTATAGATAAGTAATATAGAAATGGATTATGTTAAATAGGTTATATCATTTGAGGGAAATAGAGAGGGAACATTTAATATATTTACTTGAGCTATTATATGATTTTGTTTTTTGAAGATTAACCACCTAACCACCATGGTGTGTTTTGAGCATTCTGTTGTAAAAGTTAAAAAACCAATAAAATTTATTTAAAAAAAAATAAAAAAATATGTGTATATTATGACAGCAGAGTATGGTAGCAATATTAATATTAATTAATTAATTAATATTAATGCATAGTTATAGGAGAAGGGCCTAATGCTGGGAAAGATTGAGGGCAATAGAAGAAGGGACAACAGAGAATAAGGTGGTTGGATGGAGTCACTGAAGCAGTAGGCGTGAACTTAAATGAACCGCAGAAGATAGTAGAGGCTGGGAAGACCTGGAGGAATGTTGTCCGTAGGGTCACGATGGGTCAGACACGACTTCACAATTAACAACAACAAAGCCGGGTAGTTTGCTTCCAATATGTGGAAGGTGGTACCAGTTCTGATTATTTTAAAGGGGGACTGAACAAAGAAATGGAGGATTGTGCCATCAGTGCCCAGAATTCTTCATGACTAAATCAGAGGTAGCGTATCTTAAATAGTAGCTGCTGGGATGCAACATTGAAAAGCACTACATTTTTTTCCTCCTGTAAATATTTGGGAGCTTCTCTGAATACATTGGACTGGCACTTGCAGGATACAGAAGGACTAGATGGGTTGTTGAAGAAATTGGAATAGTGGTACTATTCCCGATATTAATTACAGCTTTTAGAAATCTGGAAAAATGAAACAATATGTTCTTCTTTGGTCCACATTTTATATTTTACAACAATAGAATGGGTAATTTTTGATTCTTTCTATTTGTTGACAATATATTATTACAACAAGATGTTTTGATAAGCAATGATTTCTATATGCTTAATATATACAGTGCATATATTAGATGTTTTATATTGGTACATTTGGAATTCCCCCCTCCCTTTCCCCCCCAGGTTTGATTTGGGGGTTGTTTTGTATTTTATTGTCTTTTATATTTCATTGTTCTGTTTATTTCTGTATTTTTGTACTCTGTTTATTTTTGTAGTCTTGCTGCAAAGAAACCCCAAGAAATTTGGAGAAACCACACGATCTTAATCTACATGATTTATAAATTGGTGTTCAGTGATATGCTGCTTCTGTACTGGGAGGTGTCTTTGTGACTAATACCATCAATCATTCTATTTTCTGTTTATTTGTTTTTAAAGATCTACTAGCCAAGGATTGATATTTTGTGTCTGAATTACATTTAATTAGACATGGTGGAAAACAATTCTTTTTCCTGTTAGTTCAGATATTGTAGCTGATTCCAACAAGCTCTATAATGCACCCTGAATTCTAACATCAGGAGAGAAGAAGCAGAAATGTTTTCCTGTGCTTGCCCTTGGTTCACTATAAAACATATTGCAGTTATGCCTACCAAAGTAAATATAATTTTAAAGCCATTATCCATATATTGAGGCAGCTGAAAGGAAGCAGGGATGGAGGACAGATAGATGGAATTAGAGGAAGTCACAATGGTCCATCTTTAATGTGAGCTGAAAAAATGATTTTGGGTTTTGGGGTTGGGTGCTGATGGGTGATAAAACAGTTGAATGATTCTATAGAGAAACATAGGTACTTATAAATAAAATCTAACAGCTCTGTTTCTGTCTTTGACAGGTGAAGACCCCACTTTTTGCTCATCAGGTGTTCTACAGGAAAAGCAACGTGAGTCCTGAAGCTTTTAAAATGTACTCCCATATTTAAGATTTATTGTACTGTCTAAAACAGTGGTTCTCAACCTTTTTAATGCCGCAACCCCCAACCGGTCGTAAGTCGAGGACTACTCAACCGGTCGTAAGTCGAGGACTACTCAACTGGTGCAGCACCATTTGCAGAATGGGACTTTTGGCGGCTCAGCAGGGCAGAGACAGCCTGGACAATTCCTATTGGCTTTTGAAAGCCAATAGAATTAGACTCTATTCAAGAGAGTCTGTTCTATTGGCTTTCAAAAGCCAATAGAATAAAATGGAGTAGCACAGCTAAGGAAAAAGGGGAAAAAATGGTGGACTGCGTTGTTTGGCGACCCCCATGAAATGGTTGTTCGACCCCAAATGGGGTCTCGACCCACAGGTTGAGAACCACTGGTCTAAAAGTACAACAATAGGTAACTTTGAATCTCCCCTGACACTCATTAAAATATCAACATAATTGCTGGAGAGCTGGTTTTGTTTCCTTTCCAGCAATAATATTGATATTTTAATAATTACAAGCAAACAAGCAGTTATTCTGGCTACAGGTAGTTCTCGTTTAACAACCACTCATTCAGCAACTGTTTGAAGTTACAAAGGTGCTATATTCAAACTGTTCGAATACCCCTACAGTCATGTGATCATAACTGGCAACCAGCTTGTACATAGGAAGGTTGCAGTGTCCTGTGGTCACATGATCAACAAGCAAAGTCAAGCTGGTAGATAAGTCAACTCACACTATTCCCCCATCTGGCAACAGCCTGCCCTCACCCTTGCTCCACTTCTTCTATGCCTCATGGACCTCCTATGCTCCCTCTCCTGCCCACCAGCCACTACCCTTGGCCTTGCCAGACTCACATCTGCACCCCCTCGCCCAGCAGCAGCCTTTTATTTGCTTGCTGGCTTATTTGTAAACCATCTGAGACTTGCTTAACAACAGCAATAAGGAGTGCCAAGATTGCCTTCTTACACTTTTCAACCACATTGCTTAGTGATTGCTGGTCACAATTACAGTTGTTAACCAAAGATTACTGTAATTCATTAATGACAGAGAAGACATGCGGCTCAGTGCATAGTTTCCAGTGCATCTTGGTTCCAAGCTTGGTCCCCAGTATCTGAATTTTTTGTAGAAAAAAAGACTTTGGATGCGATGAGTTAGTAAGATATTTGGACACTGTTGCCAGTCAAGATAAATAGGACATGGGGAAAATGCTGCAGATTCAGAAGAAGACACTATTGCCTATGAACCCAAACAATGCCTTTCATTTTTCTCATCTAAATTGAAATAGATTTGACATGGCAGAAGGTAATAAAAACTCTTCCACTTTTCCAAAATTGTTTAGCTACACTAAACTAAGACTAGGTAATTAATTGAATTGAACTGAATTCACTGATAACTAAGGGCAAGTGAAAAAAATACAGGAAGCTAAAAATGGCATACCAGTTAATGAAATATTCTAAAGAGTTTTCTGTATTGAGTGTATTTATTCAGAATATTTACAAATGAAATGTGAGGTTAATGCAGTCATAAGAAAAACAGTGAATTTTACTGAAATGTGTTGGCCTTTCCTTAATTAATTTGCACCTCAAATGAGGATCATAATTTCCATGGGTTATCAGGAAACAGAAAATGGAAGAATGCTGTTATTCCAGATGCAATTATGATATTTGTGTAAAATATATGGGTTTAGTTTGGATAATGAAAAAGAATAGATGTTTCATCAAGATTTGATATGAAAGACATTGTCAGAATAAAAAGTCCAAGTAATGAACAGTTTCAGCTCACTTAATGTATGAGAAAGGGAAGCCAAGAAGCTATGAGAAGAAAAATTTCAAGAGGAGGAGATCCAAATGACTTTCAGAACAAGCTATATAGTAGCTTGACAGCTGGGGAAAGGAAAGACGAGAATTTTCCTAACCCCCTGTAACTTCAGTATTGTCAGATATAGCATCCTCTCCTTTGTTACTTTTGTGTGATCTCAACATGAAGATACTTTGTACTCAAATCAAGTAAGCCTACAAAATTTGCCCTCTTGCGTGGCATTTTCTTTTTTACAATCCTTTAGGATCTCAATCCTTTTCTAGTTTAAAACACTTTTATGACCACTTGCTAATAGGAAGCATATGCCAGCAGCTATGCATAAGTTTATTTCTCTGTAACAGATTTGTTATTATAAACAGCTAGCAACAGTGCAACAGATGGCAGAAAACTGACAACTTTTTATGGGAATGTGAAAATGGGAAGTGTCTCTTTTCCTTCTCTCCTTTTACTGAGATGGCACTTCCTCAGATGATGGCATTAAAAAAACAAAACAGATCTGAAAGGTGTTGAGGCCCAATTTTTCATTCCCTTGTGAGTCTGAATGTACTTAGTTGCTCTGATTAAATACAGCATTTTGGCAAATTCTTCAGGGATGAAAGATAAGCACATCTGACATTTTCCAGAACTACTTATGGACTCTGTCATTCTGCAGCCTTTTATAGTAGGCAGCATAAGCTTTCTCAGCCATTATTTCTTGCAATGCCAAATGTAAGCAAGGATAGCAAGTGATCTTTATTCTTCCTAGATGCAATGACTGGATCTACGTATTGCACTAAAGCATAGTTTGTTTAATTGTGATTCATTAAATGAAGTATAATTGGTTGCCTTCCTTCAAAATAATCTATACTATTATATCTTGCTTATTATAGTGCCTGAACCAGGCCAGTAAATAAATACTTGATAGGTTTCTGAAATCTGACTTATATCCTTCTCTAAAGAAGAGTCCACCTCATTCTTGTCTTTCTCCATATGTCCTCAGTGGAGGCAGCCAAGTTCATGTATCAAGACACATAGCTACAGATCCTCTGAAAACTTTAGTTTTCATTGCACAATCATATTTATATAATCCACCTCTTTCTTCCAGAATTTGGTAAGTATAGGACAGTGTAGAACAGTGATGGCGAACCTTTTAGAGACCGAGTGCCCCAAACCACCTCACCCCTGCCCTGCTCCCGCCTCTTGTTTTCTAAAAGTACCGAACAAGATTCCCCATATTGACCAAAACATACATAATTTCTACGTGGTTTTATGGCATCCATATGTGACTGAGTAGGTAGGAGCTTTCCAGCCTCAATTTTCTTTTTCAGTAAATATGCATAGCCAATTCTAAATTGTTCCTTCCAGGTAGTGTAAAATAAGGAAATGCATCAGAGTCTGAACAGTTTTTCATGTTGGGGATTGGTTTAGTCATTTGTTCCTTTGTAACACAGATTAGTTTTGTTTAACCAGAGAGTGAATAGCTGTTTTCCTTCTCTTCAATGGAAACCTTTGCTTTTACTCAGTTGAAATTCATCCAAATCTAATTGGGGGATTTTATTAAGGCAGAACTCCATAGGACAATTTTGTTGCCTGCAGCTTTATCAGTCCTAAAATCCTCTTCAATAATGGAAATATGCTACGTTTCAGCAGCTTAGATCATCCATCCATCCATCCATCCATCCATCCATTCAACTTTTATAGCCAAGTGACTTTACAATTCTTCTCCCTAGCAGAGATATTTTCTGGTAATGTTAGTAATGGAATACCTGGTCATCTATAATTTCATTAAAAGTTTGAGTGTCTAATTTCACCCTGGAATATTAAATTGGATCTCCACTTTCTGATTCAGTAGAGTCTCTCTTTTTTTGGCATGCCCCTGCAATTCAATTATCTGGTCTCTCGGACAGGTGGACATATATGACCCAGCAGTAATCATATTGGTTCCATATTGTGGTATGCACACTAGTGCTCATCTGATTGTTTAGATCAGAGGTCCCCAACCCCCGGTCCATGGACCAGTACCAGGCTGCAGCATACCAGCAACCGGTCTGCAGAAACAAGCAAAGCCCCATCCTTGGGATGCAGGCAGCACACAAAACCATGCACTCTCCAGTCCGTGGAAAAACCTCTCTCCACGGAACCGGTTCCTAGTGCCCAAAAGATTGGGGACCTCTGGTTTAGATTCTTTCAGGAAGCAAATGTAAGGCTTAGCTCCTTTTTGACAGAAATGGGATAAGGAGCTGACACTCAAGCCAAAAACGGTTGTGATTGGACATTAGGACAAACTTTACTATTTGATAGGGTAGTTGTACCTTGGACTCATTATTCCACCTTGATTGGCCAGAACACTGTAGGTATTAATAAAAGAATTTATGTAGTGAACCTGAATGAAGGGAGATTCAGGACATAACAAAAAAAAGAGCTTTTTCATTCAGGGTGCAATCTATGTAATTCACTGCACAATATGTGGTAATAACCACCTTCTCAATAGTCATTTGCATTCATAGCAGAAAGAGCTGTCAGTAGCTGCCAGTCATGATCTAGTATCAGAGACATATTTTAGTAAAGAGGACTGGAAGAAGTTATTGCTCTCATATCCTGCTTGTGGGATTCTCTGGGGGTTGTTAGCTGGCTACTTTGACAAAATAGGATGTAGGGCTAGACTGTCTTAGGCTGTGTGTCTTTTTTAATGATATTCATGAAGGTTACATTAATCAAGCCAATTCTTCTAATTTGTAAAAACGAAGTGAGATCTTTCCCTTACTTGATGAAGAACTGGGCAATGTTAGTATTAATATGTACTTTTTAAATGCAGCAATTTCAAGGGATATCTACAGCTCAGTCGTAATTTGGAGTTCATAACATCAGTCCTTATTCAAGAAAAAAAAAACTTAAAATAGAGCCGAGGTGGCGCAGCAGTTAGAGTGCAGTATTGCAGGCCACTTTAGCTGACTGTGTTCAGCAGGTCAGCGGTTCAAATCTCACCGGCTCAAGGTTGACTCAGCCTTCCATCCTTCCGGGGTAGGTAAAATGAGGACCCAGATTGTTGGGGGCAATGTAAATATATATATATACATTGCTTACTGGTGTACACCGCTTAGAGAGTGCTTGCACTTAAAGCGGTATATAAGTCTCATAAATAAATAAATAAAATAAATAAATAAAATATGATAATGAGGATAGACAAACACAGGTGTTTCCCTATGGAGAACCCTACCGCATACCTCTTCAAGTGTCTGTCCTCCCCTAAGCTTTGCTTTTCAAAACCTTTGGTGCTTTTTAAAAAAAATTTCATACAGTAGAACCCATCTGGAAAGTCAAAGAATTGCAAAGCAATTTTAGGAGAGGTAGGAGTAAAACAGAAGTTTTATGCCATTTTAAAGAGTAACAGATTTGGTACATCATAAACTTTTCTAGATCCATGAACGTTGTGATCATAGTATGTGGGTTAGATTTTAAAATGTCACAAGATTCTTGGTGGTAAATATAGATAGGAGAGTTCTTGGTAGATAGGATTTTCTATCATCTTGCTGTTTCTAACTTGTTTCAAAATATGTCCAATTTTCATGCAGATTTTTCTCAATTCTATATTGTTAAATTATACATCCAATCAACACCCACCCACCCCTTGCTATTTGAATAGTGAGCTATTATGTATGCTGAATGTCACCTTCTGTGCAGGATTTGATTTTTGCTTCCTTTGTTCCTATAGTTTGCTTAATGATGTAATTAGCATGAATTGCAGTAATAGCAGTATAAATAAGATTGCCAGGGAAAGCTGGTAAAAATCTGAAACCTCACCTGAAAAGTTCTTTTGAGTCCTGCTAAGCCTCAATTATAATTTTTCCTCATTAAAGCTTTTCTTTCAAATAGAAAAACATAATTTGCCATATAATCAGCTTTATTTCAGCAGGTAATGAATTTTTTCTGTTTTCTTTACACTCCTGCTCCCCACCCATTTACTAGCCCTTTCAATGGCTGTTTTTGATTACACTGCCATCTGTGCCTGGGACAATTTGAGTTTATTTATCACATTTGTAGACTGATTCTTTAAAAAGGACTTAGCATTTTCTGCTTTTTAAAAAAATTCTAATTTTTTATTTGAATCATCAGGAGTATCCCAGGGGATCAGACCTAAAGCCCCATTCAGAGTGATCAGTCCATTCTGTGTAGAGAGGGATAAAGTAGCAGAAACATCTTCAGAGCCATTATGGCTACTTGGTGGATAAAGAGATCATCTCCAACTGTGTAGTTCTGGCCAGGAAGGCTGAGGCCCAGACTTATGGTGTGATTTTGGATGCATTTGAACCAGTAACTCTTGAGAAAATGGGCAGGGTTCTCTGGGCTTTTAGTTTGGCCACCTAGTTATTGGACCAAGGAACCTCCTAGGTTTGAAAGCAGCTAAGGAGGTGATCTATGACTGAATGCTTTCGATGGTGTCAGCCTCTTTGAAGGAGAGGTGATATCCCTTCCTTGAAGAAAGCAATAATGCATCCCCTTCTTAAGAGGCCATATTTGAACCCAATGATTTTAAATAACTTCCCTCTTTTAAAGGAAGGTTGTTGAAAAGCCACTTGGTATGCAGTTGATGCAAACTCTGGAGGAAGCAGATTATCTATACTCGGTTGAGTTTCAGGATGGAATTTAGTATGGAGACTGACTTGGTTAAGCTTGTAGATTACCTGTGGTAGACTCAGGATAGAGATGGTGCATCCATCCTTATGCTTCTTGATTTCTAAGCAGCTTTAGGTACTGTTGACTATAGTATCCTTTGGGACCAGTTCTAAAAGGTGGGGTACCATTCTATGGTAGGAGTACTATTTTATGATAGTTCTCTTATTTCCTTGAGACCAGTTTCAGTCAATGTTGGTTGAGGAGAGGTTGCTCCTTAGGTCCTTTCTTTGTGGGATGCCACAGATTACAACTCTCTATCCTATTTTATTCAATATCTACATGAACTACTAAGCAAGGTCATTTGCTGGTTTGAAACAATAAAGCAATCAACACTATGGGCACTTTTGATAATAAATTGGTGACAACTGATGCTTTCAGATGAAGATTGTGAAGAAAGGTGGTTAACAGCAATACTATCAAAGCAGGGGAAGTCCAAGTTCAAACTGCATTTAGCTAAGTTCATTGCTTGACTTTCGGCTGGTCATTTTTTCTCAGCTTAACCTATTTTGTGGCTAGCTAGGATAAAATTAAGTGAGAAAGTGCTATGACTTGGTTTCCTGGAGAAAAAGGTAGGATATATATATCTCATGAATAAATAAAACACTGTTCCATAAAACAGGCACTCATGAATGGCCAGAGAAACTCTTCCATTCAATAACCAGTAGCATTTCCCAGTGGGTTTTTTTTTTTTTTTACAAGAACTCAGTTGAGGACAAGACAGAATGATTACTGTTGACTGGAAATGGGTGCCCTGGAATAGAGTCAGTTCACTGGCTGAGATGTCAGAATTACAAAACCATAGCTATATGGTTTTGTAATTCATATAAATAATGCAACAATCTGCTTCACAGCTGTTGTTAATTGAGACATTGAAAGCAAAAAGGTAATATTCCTCTTCTTTTATCTTTCAGGGGAGTTGTACAGAGCCTCCCTGAGGAAACATCGCTATCCTGCACAAGGCAGCATTGAAATCCATGAGGACACTGAGGTGAATTACTACCTGGATCATGCTTCAGGCAGCTTCTGCATCCACAGCAGGGATGCCCATCTGTGGCAACTTTAAGACCTGTGGAATTCAACTCCCAAAATAATGGCTGGGGAATTCTGGTAATTGAAGTCCACAGGTCTTAAAGTTGCTAAAGTAGGATACTCTTGATCTAATTACAATACAGTACTGAGATTTTTAGAATGTTTATTTATTCATCATATTTTTATACTACCCATCTCACTTCAATGGCTCTTAGGATTTTGCTACGAACATGCTCCAAAATCTCAGATGTTATAATGCATCAGGGGGGAAATTTTTTGATTCTCAGCAGTCAAAATTGTCTTTGACTCCAAAATTACATTTGCTAGGCTGTTATTTAGCTAACTTCTCTAATCACAACCTTCATCCATGTACTGGGATTTGATTCTGTTACTGAGAAAACAGAGCAGAGAGCCATCCATAGCTTTGTTATTTTTAATTTTAAACATTTTATTTATTTATCAGTCAATGATATTTATATAGCCATCCATCTCAGAAAAAAAGCAATTCTAGGCAGCACACAATAAAAACATTAATGATGGTTACAAATTATCTTTTAATCTATAGACTTGAGCTTTTTCTAATATGGCAAAATGTACTAGAAAATAATAAATCCCTCTCTGCAATGATCATATTTTCTACCCTCCACTTTCTATTGGGTGAGAGCCCATGAATAATCTAGGACATACTGATTCCCGATATCTGAATTTTGCTCTTTTTCTCATAAATGTAGCTTAAACAAGGCTGCCTTCTCCTCAAATCATTTGGTTTCTTTTTGTTTCCCTCTCTAGGAAGGAAGTCAGTTGTGCAACTGCAGAACACGTGTCCTGATTCTTGTCCTTCATGGGGGCAACATCCTAGATACTGGAACAGGGGAGCCCAGCAGCAAGATGGCTGATGTTAACACCTTCACATCTGTATTTGAAAAAGTGACCCAGGCCCACTTCCCTTCCTCACTCGGCCATATTGTAATCCGACTTGTTCCCTGTCCAGCTGTCTGCTCTGAAGCTTTCTCCCTCATGGCAAAGTGAGTTCTATTCCTGCCTTCTTAATTATCATATTACATATTTCAGTGAACTAGGAAATAGGCTTTCTCTGACATTTTTTGGGGAAGGAAATGAGATATACCTTTTGTTAAACTATTCTTCCTCCATGCGTATTTCCACCTGAGAAGTGGGGATAAGAACAGCTTGCCTTGTTAGCTACTATTGTGGAAGAAATACAAATTGTGAAGCATTGCTGGATTAGAAATGACAGATTGATAAACAGAAGAAATAGCAACAGTACTAAATAGTGACATTGTATATAAATGGGACTGTAAGAAAAGTTCTGTTTTCAACTGTGGCCACAGGTGGCTCAGGCTGTATTGGTTTATTCTTTTTTTTTTTAGTGCCTCTGGCTTTCTGAGATTCCTACAGGGAATTTTCTCAGCATAGTTACATGTATCTCAAACTATGAGCTGAGCTTTTGAAATAAAACATAAACCTCTGTAAAATAAAATATCACTGCTGAGAATAAAATTGCTGAATACTGTACTTCTGAGATTGGTTTAGGCAATATTTATTTTGTTCTGTGGGAAACTTGAAAAAACCAACCTTCTTAACATAAAGCCACCAGGTAGGAATGGTAGGGACAGTCCAGGGGATTGATATACACTGATAAATCCTTTCCAGAGAAAAGGAGGAACTTAGCAAAGGATTCAGTTCTATTTCATCTGGAGTGTCAGATCATCTGGGAACAGAAACACTGAGCTTTTCAGCCTCTTGTTCTTAAATGTGCTTTGTGCCCCCCCCCCTTAAAAACCCCATGTGTTTGCTTTCAACAAAAAGCAAGAACATGGGAGAAACTTAAGGTACTGGAATAATTCTTGGAACTACACATTAATTGATTCATGTTACATCCTTATACTGTATCTGATCATTTTAAATACTAACCCATATTTTGGATGGGCTCCCCTTTTCTTGTAGGGGTCCCTTTGCTCCCTCTTCCTCCCATAAAAGACTCAGTTTAAATCAGGATTTTCACTTCCCCTCCTCCAAGGGGAAAATATGGAAGCAAAATTCTTCAGCTCTTTGGAACAGGGAGAGCTAAATGCCTCTTTCTAATTGCAAAAGAATCTCTTCCAATTGTCTTCCTTGGGGGTAGGAGTATTCTAACTTCAGCTCACCAAAGGGGATCCAAAGACCTCAGCTAATTAGTAGTTCAGAATAGATTCTTCCCTCTCCCTCTTTTTCAGAGATAGAATGAGGAGCATACATCATGGAGATGGAAAACAATTGGAATTGGTACCCAGTTCTCAGAATGTTCCTCCAACATCTGTAAATCTAAACATTCAGAATAATTTTTTTCTTCTTATTCTTACCATACCAAGCCTGGCAGATAAAACTGTTCTGGGGATAAACATAGGGGAGATCTCCCCATATGGCAACTTGTGCCCTCAAAGAAAAGGTGGATAAGTATACATTAAGGTATCAGCTCTCAAAGATTGCACGTTGCACAATAAGCTCCCAGAAATGAGACATATGTAATAAAACCCTATAGCCGTAGAAATAAAATTTATGGCCATCTTTCTGTATCTTTGATAATTATAGACAATCTCTTCTTTGGCATGCAGATTTTTAAAGTTACTTTACATGGATCGTGTTTCCACCAAGACATTTGCTTTTGTACCTATTGCCAACTTACCAATTGAACTCTATGAAAGCAGAATAATAAACTCATGAGGGACACATGGAAATGTGTTAATTGCTCAGAAAAAAAGCTAGGGGAGGGAGACTGATGACCCCATGAATGCAGGGGGCTAAGGAATTAGTCAAGTGCCCTCTCCCTGCTGATTTTCAGGAAAGCTGAGGACATCAGTGATTCTCAGCAGGGGGAAGAAAATCTCTTGCTGATTAATTCCTTGCATGCTGAATGGCCTACAACCCAGATATTATAAGTGGAAAATGGAAACATTCTGTTTCTTTGCCGGGCAATAAATATTTCCTCCTACTTTGGTTCATATGAAAGTTCTGCTGATTAAATATATAAACAATTAGAGTGTTGGTTTTTGCATCAACTACGAAACAAATTCAGAAGCAGAATGAAAACGTTCTATTCTCCTACCTTCACTTCATTAGTTACAACAATATAATTGGCACTAAGTGAGCTGGCTCCTCTGTCAAAATATAGCTCCTGCCCTAATTGCTGTTTTCTTCTGTGTCTTTGGAGACATTAATTTAGTTAAACAGCATTGTAAATAAATAGCTTTCATCGTGTCATTCTGGAGATCCTCTGTGTTCAGAGATTGTAAAGTGGTCAGTATTACCGGTATGTCCCAGGTCAGTTTGACCAAAGGCCTGGAGAAAATGATGCTCTGCTAACTTCAGAGGGGAGAAACAGCATTTATATTCTGAAAACTATAAGGCTGCGGTCAACTGGAATTGAACCAAAACTGCTTCTTCTGTTTTTGTCTGTTTCATTGGCACTGTCTTTCTCTTACATTTGCCTTTCAATCTTGCTTTGTTTGCATTCATCAGCATCATGTAGTCAGATTCATTTTGTTGTTTATCTCTGTGACATCACCTGGTGACTATTCCCGGAGGGGGGGGGGAAGGAATAGGAGAAGGAAGAATTGATCCTGCACCAGCTAATACAGAGATAATGAATAGGATGTTAAACAAAACAAAACCATCTTTCTCTCCTTTGAAAAATGAATGTTTATCCTTCAGTTAAAACGAGACAATCTTCAGCAGAGCTATGCTATATATATAATTAAAGTGAGCAGATTGCCTTGAATGGGGAGTATCATCAGAGGAAGGTTCTTAGATAAGGAGACTCACAAGTTCCCAGACTCTATATAAACTTAATAAATTACTATTGCTGTTGTTATATTCCCCTACATTTGGAAACACTATCCAGGTTAAATGGAAACTTCAGTCCAACCTTCCTGGAGTATGTCAGATTGAAAAGAGCTATTAGGCTTGGAATTTCTTTGAATCTTTCTGTCTTTAAACCTCTGTCATTTACATGTTGAATATTCAGGAAAGGAAAGGAGTCTCTGCAGTTTTTACTTCGCTAGTTGCCAACTGCAGAGCGCGGTTGCTCATCTCCATGTCAAGGCCATGAGCCGGTGCTGTCTGAATACGTTTCCACAGTCATGTGGCCAGCATGACATTGCGGAGGACTGTTTTTTTCTCACCAAAGTGATATCTATTTATCTATTCATATTTGCATGCTTTCGAACTACCGGGTGGGCAGGAACTAGATGGGTGCTCACCTGTTATGCCACATTCGGGTCTTAAACCTGGGCTTGCTAGCTGACAAGCCCAGCGTCTTAACTGCTGAATCATCACACCACCCCATTGGATATTTAAAGCCAAAATAATTTCCAGACTATCCCAGAGTTCTTTTTTTGCTGTTTTCCAAAGAAAAATGTGCTTCCAAAAGGAGATAGCATAGACTGTGCTCCAACAAAAGCCAAGGACTCTGTTTCTAACCTTAAAGTGTCTTTGCTCATCAGTGTGTTATTAATGTAACACAGTCAGATTTTCCAAAGGTTGCTTCTGAATCTTCTAACTTAGCCTTTGTGGATAAATGTTCATAGGTCAGTTTCTTCTCTGTGTGTGTTTGAGGAAGCCCCTTTTCAAAACTCCCTAAATTAGTGTTTCTCGCCACATCTTAAGCAGTAGATGTGTGTATTCATTTAACCCTGCAGAGTTACATTTGGGAACATCTGCTCCAGCCCTCCAGCGTCTTCCTGGGAAGCCTGGCTGATGTCTTGCACAGTTTCTCTGATGAAGTAGAACAGTGGATTTGAATGTGCTCCTAACCGAGTCATTTCCCTTGTGAGTTGGCATAATATAATCAGGTGGAAAAAAGAAAACTACTTTGCAACTTTGGCCATTCTTTTGCAGCATGGAAGAGGGAAGTCTGGGCCTGATGCTGCAGGTCCCATCAACAGAGTTCTTCTCTCCCTTTTCTCCCTACCTGTAGTCATAAGGCATTCATAGATCCTGTATCCTCTTGAACCCGTCATATCCTTGGATGCTGGCTCTAGTTTTCACTCCCTTTCCTTCCTGCTGGCACACCTTTCCTTCTGCCCCCTACCAGGCCTTTACATTTCAAGGCAGTCCTTGGTTATTTCAGAATAAAGATGAAATGCTACTTTTGACCCCAGAATAGCAGAGGACAAATTAAGGCTCTGACTTGTAGACTGGGGACAAAATGAAGACAACATTGTGGGGGCACAAATACAATGGTCAGGTAATGATTGTGCTGTGGCTCAGTGCAACTGAGAAGGTCTTGGTTGAATTGGAATAGCCTTCCCAGAATGGCAGTTTTTGATAGTCTTGTGACTGCAACTCTCACATTTCCAGCCCTTTTCTGATTAAAAGGAGTTAGGTTAGAACCCGTATTTGGGAAGGAGTGTTATTGCTGGGAAGGGCTGTATTTTCCCCACTTTGAAATGTCTACCTGGAAGTCTAATTGCTAATTATTAACCTGTTTAATTAATAGACCAAATACATTTTAAATAATGTAGTTGTCCACCAAAACTTCACAGGGTTTTGAGCTACTGCCTGGTCATCGTTAACTGTAGGGATATTTTGCTTCTTGATAGATCTCAGCGAACTAGATTTCAACTGGTACATGCCTTGAACTACAGATGATATCTGAAAGTCCACTAATCATTGAGAGATTATCAGAATTACAATATTGACTATCAATTTATTGATAGAAAACAGGAAAGAGGTTTTGTAGCAGTAATTAAGCTTTTAAGCCGGGAACAATGTCCTACTGACATTGGTTAAGCCCCTTAATTATAAGGAAGAGGAAAGTGAAGGACATGGAGGAAGGACAGAAGACTAAAAGAAGTGGGAGGGAAGGAAAGTAAAATGGAGAAGATAGGAACAGGAAAGCAGCAGGTTTGCAAGGGTTGGAATGGAGAAAAAAGGGGAAAGCACTAAGAGCTACAGAGTTGAAGAAGGCTGAAATTCACATTGTTTCTTGAAATAAGCAAGCCAATCCGGCATGGTACAATTTTATAATATCTCTCATTTAATATTTAAAATAGTGGGGTGAAAAACAGTGCCCAGTGTTTATGAGCTGGATGGACATTGCTTGCACTGTACATTGGACAGAGGATCATTTCCCCTATAGAAGTTTGATATGGCTTTTTACTAGTTTCCTTGCTTCGGTCACTTGAGCTCATTTTCTCAATTGTAGCTTTTTATGCAAACCTGTGTCAGCAGCACGGGAGGCAGAGGGTTCCCGACAAGGTGCCTGACCAACTTTTCCTAATCTTGCTGCTCTACATTTTTGCTTTAGAGCAGTGTTTCTCAACCTTGACAATTTTAAGGCATGTGGACTTCAACTCCCAAAATTCCACAGCCAGCATTGCTGGCTGTGGAATTCTGGGAGTTGAAGTCCACATGCCTTAAAATTGTCAAGGTTGAGAAACACTGCTTTAGAGATTCCTGATCTGAAAGCAGGAATTGATGGTTATTTTTCTGGGCTGTCCTATCTTGTTTTATATCTTCCTTTGAGCTGTAACTTAAAATTCTTTTCTCGGCTCTGTAAAACTTTTCCCAAGTTCCAAGCCATGCAGCTGTTGTCTATGTTAGATGGAGAGGAGTAATATGAGTGGCTGAGCTCAAAAGAGCATTTTTCTGGAACCTTTGGCATCCTCTCCAGCTGAAAGCAGCTGATTGTGTACTCTCCAGAGCTTCCAATTGGAATGGGAAGGGATGCAACTCAGAATCTAGCATCTGTTGTATTCAGCAGCTCCCAATTAAAACACAGGACGTAGAATAACAGAGTTGGAAGGGGCCCTGGAGGTCTTCTGGTCCAACCCCCTGCTCAAGCAGGAGACCTATAGCATTTCAGACAGATGGCTGTCTAGTCTCTTCTTAAAAGCCTCCAAATTCTGAAGGCAAGACATTCCACTGGTTAAATGTTTTCACCATTAGGAATATTTTTCCTTAGTTCTAGGTTGCTTCTCTCCTTGATTAGTTCCATCCATTGCTTCTTGTCTTGCCTTCTGTTACTTTGGAAAATAGGTTGACCCCCTCCTCTTTGTGGCAGCCCTGAAATATTGGAACACTGCTATCATGTCTCCCCTTGTCCTTCTTTTCACTAGACTAGACTAGACTAGACATTCCCAATTCCTGCAACCTTTCTTCATGTTTTATCCTCCAGCCCCCTAATCATCTTTGTTGCTCTTCTCTGCACTCTTTTCAGAATCTCAATGTCTTTTTTATATTGTGGTGACCAAAACTGGATGCAGTATTCTAAGGGGGGCATCTTACTAAAGCTTTGTAAAGTGGTACTAATAGTACACATGAATTCAATTCAATCCCAGTGTCCAATATAGAGCTTGGAAACCTTGCAATCTTGTATAGCAGCAGCCAAGCTAAATGGTCTGGAATAGTACAAGGCAGCTTTCTCTATTGCTGTAGAGTAGACCCTGTTTGGACACCCAGAAGCCAAAATTATCCTCCACCCTATACAAGTGCTGGGCCACACTGCCTCCTTGTGGCATCTGATTGGTCATTCACAAAGTAAAGGTAATAGAAGAGAGACAGACGTGCTTTTCCGGGGAATAATAGTGAAGCAAAATATGTAAATTGAACGAAAGAAAAACCTTTAATTCTTGCAAAGCTGAGCAGCCTGCGAAATGCTTCTCTTTCTCCTTGACTTTTGCAGGGGTGGTGGTGGGGTATTCCTAGCCCTCTTTCACAGAGAGCCCGGTCTTACCATGATTGTTGAGAACTGATAGCTCATTATTTCCATAATGTTGATGTGGGTGCTTCTTAGGGGACCCACATTTTTATTGGTGAGTTTTGCACAGCCATGTGGGCAGGATTGTTCCCATCCTTTTTTCACCTGGAATTTGCACTGTGCTGACAAACAGAATGTATAAGATGTGTGAAGAGCAAGGAACAAAAGAATATACAATTAGCAAGTTTCTTTCACAACTACAGAAACTTCAAAACTGCTCATTTGCCCATGCCTCCATATTCTTTCACCTTTCCCGTTGTGTGTGTATGTGTGTGTGTTATATAACAATGTTTTGTCAAAAATTCTTAGCAATTAGTCTCCAAAAATTGTTCACACTAAGAGTAAACATCTTTCCTCCCTAATCATCAGCCTTACATCCCTAAGATGTAATGGCTGATGCAATAATTGCTTCCCTTCTCAATTTACTCAAAGTTGTTGGACTTCACCATCAGGCTTTCACTTTTTTTAAAAAAATAAATTTTCTTCTTTAACTACTTTCCCCTTATTTAGTGGGGCTGACATTTCTCTTGGAACAGCTGACAATTGAAACCAACTGGAGTGATCATTCCATGAAAAATAGTATGTATTAATGAAAAAAACAAACTAACAGTGGCAAACATAAGATCGCAATTAAATTTTACTTGCTGTTAAATCAAATGTCTTCCTCTTCCTAATTAAGGCTTTCATCAACTAATGAAAGACTATAATGAGAGTCTCTCCAAACAGTCAGTCCCATGTTTTGGTGTGATCATAAAAAAAGGCTTTCTCTTCTTAAGCTGTACAGTGTGGGACCATATCCAAGTTCTGTGTTGGACACTTGCCTCGTGATGACATCAAGCTAGTGCTGGAGTTTTTCTGTCAGAAATGCCAGTTCCCTTGAGATCTCAGGAATATGACTTTTCTTCCCCATACCTCTGCATCCAGAGAAATACTTGGGTCTCTGTCCTTCATTTTTAAGCTGGAGAGGCTAACTTCCTGCTGTATTGCCTCCTTCTACCTTGCATTCATCTGAGGATCATGAGCTCCTGACCAACTGTAGGTTAATAGGGCAAAGTGCATTAGGACTATAATGCAAGTTGAGTTTGTGGCATGATAAATCTTATTCACAGGGGTCAGGATACTGTCCATCTCAACTAGTACCCGGAAGATCCTCTCCATTAGTATGTAAGATGCAGGCAGAATGGTGTGCATGAGTGTAGGCAAGCTCTAAAGCAGAAACAGGCAAAGAGGCTGTAGACTGCTGGAAAGTTCAAGACGAGAGACCCAAGGAAACTGCCTGCTCTTTTAGAGGTAATTCCTTCCCTGTCCTAGAGGCCCGTAGACAGAATGGCAGTGATATGGGTGTGTCACGAGAGGATGGGCAACTTACTTGAGTTTGTATTTTTAAAAACAAATAGGTGCTTAACAAACATATTTATGAAAATGTACTATTTTCACACACAAAAAGTAACATTTCTTGTTTCCAGGAAATGGATGGTCTTCAAAGTATTTTTTCAAGAATTGGACTATTGGGGGTGACTCATGTCAGTTCAGTTGAATGTGTCCTGGTTCATCTTAAATTGCCGTCTCTTTTCTCCATCCTCACTGTAACCAACATTTATAATGCTCCTGCTCTTAATTGTGGATAATTTGCATTGCTGTCCCCTTCTTTTTCTTTAGCCTGAATCCTTACAGTTATGATGAGACATCTCTAAGTAGCAGTGAAGATCACATCCCGCTGGCTGCCTTGCCCTTGTTGGCGATCTCTTCTCCTCAGTACCAGAATGCAGTTGCCATGGTGATCAGCCGAGCCAACCAAGTTTATAATGAATTTCTTGGATCTCCTGATGGGGCAGGCTTTAATGGGCAGGTATAACCACTCTTATTCCTGCTAGAAAATCTAAAAGACATTGTTATATCAGTACCCTGAAACTGATAAAATTTCTTTTCCACAGGAGGTATATACTTCATTCTTTATTTCTTTAATCAGAAAATACTCCGCTGCTACTTGTAACAAAATAAGAAATTAAACAATATATCAGACTCCTAGTCCTTGCACTTTTGCCCCATGTATAATTTGCTTCTGAAACCTTAGTATTTGAAATAGATGGTATGAAGCTTGTGGACTGTTCTAAATGGAAAGGAAATCTATGTTTCAGACAGAGGCCACACTTATTTTTTTCAGTTTCTGAGGGCTACAGAGGCACGGTAGTAATAGAGTGCGGTCGTTTGAAAGAGTTGGGTGGATTTTTCCTCCTCTACCCCTGTCATTTCACTTCTTACAAATATTGGTGCTTGGAAAGCTTCAGGAAATAGATGTTGTCTCTTAAAAATTTTAACAGGCCTAACTTGCTGCTTAATTGTGAAATTTAAAAAAGGAAATCTCATGCTACCAAAATTAGTCTACCAGTTAAGGCACTAGGCTAGAAAGTGGGAGCCCATGAGTTCAAGTCTTGCCTTAGCCATGAAAGCGAGATGGGTGACTTTAGCCCAGTCAGTCTCAGCCCAACCCATCTCACAGTGTTCTTGAGGAGTAGATAGGAGGGGGAAGGTGTGTTGGATACGTTTGCCTCCTTGAGTTGTTCATGTAAGTAATAATGGTGGGAAAGAAATAAATACATAAAAATAAATAAATATGCTGGCTCAGACTTGGAGAATTCTAGAGACATGTAAACGGGGGATTGATGGACCATTTATAGTTACTCATATTGACGTTTTAAAGTTTATTCTATGTTTATTTCATGTTTCAACCAACCAACAAGCCTCAAATGGAAACTGTAGAAGATGTGATATTGAAAAATAGAGAGAAAAGAGGGGGGAAAATCAGTTCTTAAAGATAAACAGTTATTTTATGGTCAGATAGATGCAATTCAGAAAATAAGGGTCAGTCTGTTGGAGTGAGTTTTTCAGCATCTTACATTCTTCTTTTAGAGAAGAATGATCATCATCATCATCTCTGGAATTCTAACTTAACGATTCCTACAAAAATAATCCATTCTGTTTTCTTACAACATCGGCCATTCCTCCCAAGCCTCACCCTCCCCTCCAATATTCATTCTCAAAAAATGCAATAAAAACCATTTCCATGGAAAAAATTATTATGTGGAAGAGGAGATTAAATTTAATGAGGGGTCCTGCTAAGAAAGGAGGAAAAAATCTCCTTAACTTTCTTCAAAACCCTACAAGGAAGGGGAAAAAAACCCTATTCTTTCTTTTGTTCTACTCTTCTGTTGTACTAATAAATAGTGATGTACTTTGCAAAGTGCTAACACTAAATAAAGGCTTATTGCTTTATATGCCAGACTGGACTGTGGATTTAACTGGTTGAATTCTCCCAGAATCTTGGGAGGAAAGCAATAGAAAAAAAGATGTCTGGGGAACTAGAAGCAGGAGGATAAATTAGCATAATGGTGTAGTAGAAGCCTGCTTCTTCAGACTTGACCAAGTGGTAAAAAGGTAGACCTGAACCAATACTAAATTCTTTTATAATAAGTAAACAATAGTTGAAGTCGGTATGTTTATCTCCAGGGAAGTGGCTTGGAGGGAAGAATTAACCTTTCCTAAGATTGTCTCATTTATGTGATACTGATTATGCAGAAACCTGCCATATCAGCTTATTTTATTAATGCATCTGATATAAGTGAATACACACATTGAAAACTAACTATTTCTAGCATGGTAATTACAGGATATCTTGTCTCTCTGTAAGGAGCCATAGCCTATTGTAAGATCCTTCTTATGTTCATGTCTTTGCTGTATGACTGGAAGATTTGTGATCCATCTGTATCTGGCTTTAGATTCTTACCACACACTAGATCAGGGGTAGGCAACCTTGGCTCTTTTATGACTCGTGGACTTCAACTCCCAGAATTCCTGAGCCAGCTGGTGCAGGAATTTGGGGAGTTGAAGTCCATGAGTCATAAAAGAGCCAAGGTTGCCTACCCCTGCACTAGGTGATGCAAAAATATTAGAAGGTTTGCAAGGTGCCACCAGGATGCTGTGTGAACCAGGCAATCTTGTGAAGCCATAAAAATAGCCATGAAATAGTTTATTTTGTTAATCATAATATGGTATTTAACTATAACAACATAGGGCTCAAAGTGAACTTCTCTAATTGGACCAAATCATAAACTTGGTACTTCTTCTTGGGTCTTCCAGGTGTGCCTTGTGGGAGACTGTGTGGGAGGAATGTTGGGCTTCGATGCCATTTGTTATAGCACGGGACTAGCAGATGAAAGCCAAGTCAGCAGCAGAAGAGGCAGCACCAGCAGTGTTCAGGTATGCATAGGAGAATGTCAGAGAAGGCAACCACTGCATATTTTATCATCTACAATAGTAGTTTTGCTAACTGGAAAGCTGCAAACTATTTGGAATGCCTTGACAGAGAAATGGTATAAAACTCCTGTGAGCTTACTGTATAAGTGCACTATGCACCAATACAGGTGCATAGCAATCTTGTATGATTGATATGAAATATGAGCTAGCTAGCTAGTATGATTGATATGAAATATGAGCTAGAAGTCAAAAAAGCCAACGCAATCCTAGGTTGCATAAACATAGGAATAGAATCAAGATCACTTGAAGTCTCCCATTGGCATCCTTCAGTCTCGAGAGACTATGATATTGTGCTCTGGAAAGAGGTCCTAAGGCAATATCTGGTGTGGCTAAAAAGGGCAATTTGAGAATGGCAGTCCCTTCCACGCTGAGGACAAATACAATCTGTCCCTGTCCAGCCCCCAGATTTCGCTGGTTCCAGGACTGCCTCTTTGCCTCAGCCTGCCGCACAAGTGTCTCTTCAAATTGGAGAAGGCCATGCTGCGTCTTTAGCCTCCAGGCTGAACGATCAGAGGTCAAGGATTCCCAGCGGTTAATGTCCATTCCCAAGGCCTTTAGGTCCCTCTTGCAGATATCCTTATATCGCAGCTCAGGTCTCCCTCTGGGGCGCTTTCCCTGCACTAGTTCTCCATACAGGAGATCTTTCAGAATTCAACTATCAGCCATTCTCATGACATGCCCAAGCCAGCGTAGACGTCGCTGTTTCAATAGTGTATACATGCTAGAGATTTCAGCACATTATAGGACTGCGCTATTTGGGACTTTTTCATGCCAACTGATGCTGAGACAGCACATATGAAAAGTGTTCAGCTTTCTCTCCTGCCTTAGTAAGACCACACCTGGAACATTGCATCCAGTTTTGGCCACCACATTATAAAAAAGATGTTGAGATTCTGGAAAGAGTGCAGAATAGAGTAACAAAACTGATTAGGGGCTGGAGGCTAAAACATATGAAGAATAGTTGCAGGAACTGTGTTTGTCTAGACTAGTGAAAAAAAGGACTACGGGTGACATGATAGCAGTGTTCCAATATTTGAGGGGCTGTCTGAAAGAAGAGGAGATCAACCTATTTTCCAAAGCACCTTGAAGGCAAGACAAGAAGCAATGGATGAAAACTAATTAAGGAGAAGACCAACCTAGAACTAAGGCGAAATTTTCTGAGTGTGAGAACGATAAACCAGTGGAACAGCTTGCCTTCAAAAGTTGTGGATGATGGCTTTTAAGAAGAGACTGGACTACTTGTCTGAAATGGTAGAGGGTCTCCTGCTTGAGCAGGGAGTTGGATTAGTGACTTCCAACATCCCTTCCAACTACCGTATATGCCGGCATACAAGGCGACATGGCGTATAAGACGACCCCCGCCTTTGTCGCTGAGCCGCATTCCTAGAACGTCGTCTTATACGCCGGAAACTACCAGTATTTCTGGCGTATAAGACGACTCGGGGTATAAGATGACCCCCGTCTTTGGCGCCGATTTTAGCGCTTGCGGAAGTCGCCTTATACGCCGGCATATACAGTATGTTATTCTGGAATCTATTATTCTGTTATTGTTTTTCCCTCATTATCCAAAGACCCTAAATTTTGCCACAGATTTATGTTAGTTTTAAAACTAACTGCATGTGGTTGACTGCAGTAAACTTTGGAAATGAAAATTGTATCAATACTATAGCTTCTTCATGTGTATCATTATAATAATTTAAAATAAACAGACATATACATATTTTTTTCTTTTCCTAGGATAAACCTGTTTCAGCTGAAGATTCAAATCTAGAAGACCTCAAGCGCCTCAGCAAAAGTAATATTGATATCTCAGGAATAATGGAGAATGAAGAGTCCAGACAACCATTGCCTCGGAAGCAAAGTGATTGCTCCAATTATGACTGTGATAGCATAACAAACCATCATGTTTTCCTATCCAGGTAACTGGAAACCTTGCATGAAGAAAATGTTAGTTCAAGCAAGCAGGAGCAAGACTTAGTGTAAACTAAGCAGTGAGTAGATAATATCTGGTAGACTGTATGGCTTGGGCTTGGTACTTACTGTATCTACCGTCTCACTCAGGTTGCTTAAGAGTCCTTTTGAAAAACATACAAGTGAACTCTGGAGCCCCTCCCATGTGTGAGGCACCATGATGAAAGTAGATTTTCCAATTACTTCTCAGATAGTACATCATAATATTGCAGAGTTTTGTAAATTATACATAAGGCACAAACCTCGTAACTGAGGGAAAAATAGATGTTAGAAAGTTTATAGATTTTTAGTGCTGATAGTTCTACATTCATAAACTCTAGTTGCTGCCTTTATGTTTATTCATAAACTGAATTTTGTATTTGCAGGTATAAACTCTTCTTTCATTCTCATTTATTTGGGGTAGATTAGATAAAGGAAATCAGTCCTTTCCTCGGGACCGATGTTTTGGAACAAACTGATATCACACACTCACAAAAGTGCACACTCACAAACATAAACAAAAATCTTTTGCCTGCTTCCAAAATAAACAATCCAAAGGTCTCCTAGAAACTAAACTGATCTCCTGGTTGGTGAAAGTAAACCTGCTTCTCTCTGCCTCCTGTGTTGAAGTTTTGTCCAGAAATGCACCCATTCCCATTTTTATACATTGGTTCACTTGTCAATATGTTTACAACCCTTAAACATATTAGTCTTTATCTCGTTGATTTCAGCCTCAAGTTTATCATCACTGTGGAATGGAGCCATGTTGTTTCACTCTTCTTATTCTCTTTCCCAGCATCCACTCAACAATGCTGAATGAGGATGCAGAGTTTCCCCCAACGAACACTTCAAGCACGTTGGATGTTAATTTGGGGCGATTTGAATTTGAAGTCTCTGATTTCTTCCTCTTTGGTTCACCCCTTGGTTTGGTGCTGGCTATGCGGAGGACAGTCCTGCCCAGTCTGGAAGGTGAGTGTTGCCCATCAGCTAACAGATAGCTTACTCTTGGCTGCTTTCAGCCAAACTTTTATGTCCCCGAATAGAATGAGGATCAATTTGCTCAGATTGTCTCAAAAGAACACAAACTTCTTTGGGCAGAGTTTGTTTTTCTCTGTGCAGAGTATAGGAGGTTTACTGCTATTTTTCTGAAATTATTTTTGAAAAGGGTTTTTTTTCCGTAAAAAGTAGTAGATCCAACATCTCAAAATCCACAAATCTTACCAATTTTCAAAGCAGTGAAGGTCCTTCTCATGCTAATGCTTTTCTTCCCACCTTTTTACACTTGTTGTGTGCAGAATCAAGATTTCTAAAATAGTCCATTTTGTGGATTCTTGTCATTCAAGTTGAATATCTATTTTAAGAGGTCTTTTGAAACGAATAACAAGAATCAATCCATTACCAGTGGAAATCATTCACCAGTGGACCAATGCTTTAAACATTTAAACACTGAATTTTTATTTGGTTTATTAATCAGGTCTGGCAGAGCAGACATTTGGTGTAAAATGCCAGGCTTACTACAGCAATTAATACCATTGGATTGTTCTTTGTTTAGCCCTGGGGAAATTCTAATCTGATTTTCAAAGCACAGTTTCCTATTTAGTTTGCTATAACAGGTTTGATTAGTGATGAAACACAGATAGGCAGGTGCTGGAATTGTCTCTTTGTGAATGTTGAGTAATGATAACTTTGTCTTGCAAAGCAAATCTAGGCTAGGAATAATTTAGTTTTTGAACAAAACAGAGACATTAGGGAATGATAAAGGTTTTTTTCAAGGTCTAGTTTATCATGTTTATATATCTTCATTGTTATGAACAATTCCATTTTTATCAGTTTCACAGGATAGATAGGAAACTTGCAAGGTTAATTTTCTTGCTGATTATGTGTTTTTAAAGCTTGCTTTTAACAGAGATTCACCTTATTCAGGTCTCTTAGCAGTTCCATTTTTAGAAATCCAATACTTTCATTTTGTTATTGTGGAAATGCACAATCATTTATTTAAAAAGAATACTATAGCATAATAAAGCATGTTGATTAGTTAATATCAGTAGGATATGAGGGTAGTAGAACAATTCCTTTACTCTAAAAAAGAACAGTGGTTCAGAAAGCAATTAATTAAGGCTGTTAAGAACTCTGTAGAAAGAATTACAAGTTTAAACTGTTCAAATGCCTTCCATTTACACTGCTACAACGAAAGGCAAGTCATAAGGAGGCCAGAGTCTTATTCCCTTGCCCTAGGACAGGGGTAGGCAACCTTGGCCCATAAAAGAGCTAAGGTTGCCTACCTACCTACCCCTGCTCTAGGAGGTGAACTACCTCTGCAACCATAAAAAATGCAAATCAAAGAGTAGAAAAAGAAGAATCATACTTTCTACCCAATTTCTCGAAGAATGCACATTTCCTTCCCTGCATGGGTTCCTCTCCCCAACCTCACAATTATTATGCTACTATTCTGCAATTGTCTTCTCATTTCTTACTCAGTTATTTGGGTAAAGAAAAAAAAGATGGAAGAAGCAAATTAAAAATATAGAAAGACTGGAGCTAAACTGGTTATTATCTCTACAAAATTGTATAAAGGGGATATGGTGACTCCATCTTAAAAGTTTGATTAGAAATCTGGTTGAAGTCCTTTCTAGCTAGCTTGTGGGCAGAGAGGAAACAAAAGTATGTTTTTTAATTTGTTGGACTGGGATCTGAATGGGACCGTTATGTGTTTTCTGAATTGCAATATAACTTAGAGGCCATTCCAGTATTTTGAAGAGGAAGCATTGATATAAATAAATAACTAAATAAAGGTACAATAAATGTAAAATCTCCTTGTTCAAATAATGTATGAAGTATGGAATTTCTATTTGATATGTGTTTTAAATACCACATCGATCAAATTGTATCCATCGTGAAATCTAGCATATCAGGAGGTGGCTTGTTTCGGTATACTGGGCCTGATTTAAAGGAATTTTAAAAAACAAATCTTAAGAAAATATTTGATTCAATGATGGCTTGCTAAAGTGATTGAATGCAAAAGCTATTTTTTTAAAAAAAAAACAACCTAATTGCTTTGTTAACAGAATCCTCTTTACCAGTGGAAAGTACTGTATTCATTAATATATATTTGTTTAAAATGTGGGATGGGCTGGAAGGCAGAAGGCAGGATGTAGCTCAGAACTGACTCCATTGTTTCCAAAGTACTTGACTCTTCTGTGGGAATTTTATACCTTTGGAAATTCAATGACAAGTCTGTAACTCCTTGTATTTTCTTTTTGTGCTCTGTACTCTGAAGATACACTTAAACAGTTAATATTGACTGTGAGTCATCCTTTCTCCCTGTGTCTAGTCTGCCAAGTACATCCAGCCTGCAGCCAAGTTTACAGCCTCTTCTACTCAGCTGACCCCTCTGCCTCCAGACTGGAGCCATTATTAGAGAATAAATTCCACCTTCTGCCTCCCTGTACTGTACCAAGATACCAGAGGTACCCCTTAGGAGATGGAAGATCCCACCTCTTAGGTATTTATGTCTTTGGCTTGTGCAATTCACAATAGTCATATAGCCTGTCTACCAAGTATTTCCACATGCCTCAGCCGTCTAGACAATTATATAAAATGAACTTTACAGAGATGAATGAATAACAACTCTCTGCCAAGAATCAGCTTATGCTGTCTGTGGAATTTCAGGACACTCTCTCATGGTTTGCCCAGAACATGATATCATAGGGTTTTTTTCAATCTATGCACCCTTATCATCCAAGTTCGCCTCTAGTCAACATACAGCATATACATACATATTAAAAACTTATTGTCTTCCAGATGTGGACTTTAATTCTCATAATACCCTGGTTATCAGGATCTGGGATGAGCCTTCCTCTTTACTTGCAGCTCCTGTATTTCACCAAGATTGTGTTTCATGTATCCCAAAATTATGATACCAAAGTCCACTTGTTATTGTTTTAAAAAGGAAATGAATGTTTCATACTCCGTATTAATTGGCTTGCCTTTCTGAATGCGTGGTTCTTCTTTCTTGAGTTTGCTTATATAATATCTACGCCCATTAAAAAACATAAATGGCTGAAATATCAAATAAGATAGGGGGAAATTGCCTAAATGGCTTCATAGAGCTTAGTAGTCCTTCTGTGCCCAAATCCTTAAACTGATCAATACATCCGGTACTATTTTTCAGAAATTTTACTTGCAAAAAAAATATTTTTCCCTTATCTGATTCGGCTCTTTCTCACCTTACAGCTGATACACTCCAGTACCATAGCAGCCTGTTTGTTGAAGATAGTTGTGCAAAGTCACCCTTCATGCAAGAGACTTTGGCACTTCCAAATGCTGTACAAGGGAAAGTGCGAAGAGGGAGCCTGGGCAGCAGCAACAGTGAGAGCTCTGGCTCAACGGAGAGCTTATTGTCCAGCAGCATAGCAAACAGTGAGTGCAATTAGTTTTAACACTAGAAAGCCAATTTGGACTAGTAGTTATTGGTAGTTTTCTCCTTGTGAAGTCCTGCCTGCTTTGGGTTGGCTTACTGTTGGCAATTTGATGGAATAACTCAAGAAAAGCCTTTGTCAACAGCTACACTTAGCATTTGCCCCTGGACCTCCCTTCTGAGGAGTTCACTCTGCTCCCCCCCCCCCGGCTGATGTTATTCTCAGGTAGGATCTGGGGAGCTTCTGTGATGTGGAATAGACAAATGAAATGCCTGTTTGTTTTCCACAGTAACTTCCAAATGGTGGGGAGCCAAGCGAATAGATTACGTTTTGTACTGTCCAGATGTCCTCACAGCCTTTCCTACGGTGGCTTTGCCACATCTCTTCCATGCCAGCTACTGGGAATCAACAGACGTGGTTGCTTTCATTCTGAGACAGGTAACAATGTCTTCCTTGCGTGCTCTCCCTCTTTCTAGATCTGTGGATCAAAAATAACAATTCACATCTTGGCCACAAAACTGAATTGATGGCCTTGCGGGAAATCCCAGCCTCATTTAACTTATGCAGTTGCTGCATGGATAAAATTGGCAAGCCACACTTTCAGTGTAAGAGAAGGTGCAAATGCAGTTAAACTAATGAAATGCCAAAAAGATTTATGCAAATTTCCCCCGTAGATACAAACTTCTTGCAAGCAGTAAGCTTTTGTTCTAAACCTGTGCGGTACAGAGGTTCATTTATGCCATTATTTTGAACTTATTTGGCAAAATGACTATGCCAAGTGCAGTTCCCCTGTTTATGTTTCATTTCAGGTGATGAGGTTTGAAACCATCAGTGTCAAGGAAAGCAACAGTTTGGATCCGGTGACTCTCAGTCCTTCAAATCCCCGAGAAAAATGGCTGCGCAAAAGAACCCAAGTCAAGCTAAGGGTACAGGATTGGCTTTTATCCAATCCCTCTATATCTTAGCATTTTTCAGAGGAACCAAAGCCATTTTAAATCAGTTTTTAAAATAAAAAAAACAAGAGCAGCAGTGGTCGCTCCATCAAAATGGGTGATGCATTTCAGATTTGGTTTGATTTGTTGCTGCTTGATATTTTAGACAGGCTGCCTATGGGTTATATCTTTTTAATTGCTTTTATTATTTTGTATTTGTCCAACTGGTCTATGGGAGCAGAGGGCTATAATAAATTTTAATAACAACAACAGCAGTTGGTACAGAATTTGAAAGATAGGAAGTGATGAAAGTACTTTTTGTGGCCAGGTACGGTACTTTTTCAAAGGTGAAATATATGGCAAGAAAGCCAGAAGGGTTTCTGATCAACCTGTCTTGTTTAAAATATAAAAGCAGCAGTCAAAGCCTGAAATTGGTGCATATGAATCTCAGTGGAATTTTATTTTAATTTTTCAAAGGATTAAATTAAGGAAAGAGGTCCAGTTAGGTGTAGTGATTAAGGCACAAAGCTAGCCATGAGACCATCAATTTGTCCCAACTTAGGCAAAAAGCTAACTGAGTATCCTTGGACTAATCACTCTTAGTCCTAGGAAGCAGGCAATGGCAAACCACTTCCAAAATCTTGCCAAATTGTAGGAACCTGTCTAAAAGTCAGCATTGACACAAATGCACCTATATAAAGTTAAGGAAAAGATCAAGAAGGCTCATCCACATATCAACATGTAAGGGTTGAGTTGTTTCTCCTAATCTTAAAGGGTCTGTTCTTTCATACAATGCCTTGGTAAGGTCACACTTGGAATACTGCATCCAGTTTTGGTCACCACAATGTAAAAAAGATGTTGAGACTCTAGAAAGAGTACAGAGAAGAGCAACAAAAATGATTAGGGGACTGGAACCTAAAGCATATAAGGAACGGCTGCTAGAATTGGGTATGTCTAGTAGTTTAATGAAGAGAAGGACTAGGGATAACATGATAGCAGTGTTCCAATATCTCAGGGGCTGCCACAAAGAAGAGAGAGTCAAGCTATTCTCCAAAGCGCCTGAAGGCAGGACAAGAAGCAATGGGTGGAAACTAATCAAGGAGAGAAGCAACCTAGAACTAAGGAGAAACTTCCTGACAGTTAGAACAATTAACCAGTGGAACAACCTGCCTCCAGAAGCAGTGACTGCTCCAACACTGGAAGTTTTTAAGAAGAGACTGGACAGCCATGTGTCCAAAATGGTTTAGGGTTTCTTGCCTGAGCAGGAGGTTGGACTAGATGACCTCCAAGGTCCCTTCCAACTTTACTATTACTGTTACTACTATTATTATTATTTGTTCAAAAATAAATATATTTTTCTAGGTTGGGTAATGATTGTGATGATCCAATTGTTTCATTCCCTTCCTTGTTTCTTTTTCAGAATGTAACTTCAAACCACAGATCAAATGATATCATTGCTGCAGAAGATGGCCCTCAGTTGCTAGTTGGCCGGTTCATGTATGGACCACTTGACATGGTGGCTTTAACAGGAGAAAAGGTAACATTCCAAGGCCATCCTTCCCTCTCTCCCTCCTTCCCAGTAAGCCTAAGCCATTGAAGACATGTAAGCCCCCAAGAACATGAGAAGAGCCCTGTCAGACCATAAGCCCTTCTATAGTCGCTCATTCTCATATCAGCTGACCATATTTCAAACTTATAAACTAGGTATGAGTTCAATACCTTCTCTCTATTATTGCTTCTGATCCCATGGCCTGCAGTTTTCTGCAGACAAGATTTTTATAGCTTTTAATTATGCCCTTCTATATGAGAGGATGCTTGTAGGATCATTGAGTAAGATCATTGTTTTTTGTGCCCACGGTTGTCAACTCTTTTCAGAAACATTCCACAGAGTTTCAGGCAGCAAAGTATTTATTTCATTTAATCTACTGTCAAAAATATTTTAGTTAAAGGTGCTAGAGGGTGAATCTCACACATGAAGTATGTATTCTAGAATTATAGGAGGGACTAAGTTCATGCCCTACTCATTGCTAGAACTGCGACACCTTTAACTGGTGATTCAAATTTTTGTTCTGTTTTTTATGAGATAGTCCTACAGATATTTGAACATCGCTATTATTTTCCCTTTATTGTTTCTTCTTCAGGATAAACATGCTGTGTTCTTTCAGCTATTTCTCATTGGACTTTGGTTTCAAGGCCCCTCACCATCTGGATTGTCCTCATCTGGCATTGTCTTTCTTAAAATGTGGCACCTAGAATTGGACACATGCTTTAGCTGCAGACTGAACAGTACAGAGCAGCGAGCTTTTCTTGTACTTCTATTAAAACCGACTAAAATCGTCAGTGATGTCATGCTGCTGAAATAGCTACTAATCCTCAAAGCTTTTGCCATGATCAATGTTTTAGGCTTTAAGATGCTGCAAAGCTAGTTTTTTGTGAGACTAATATGATATCCCTCATGAACTTTGATGTTAACTGTGTATGTGTGTGGAGAGGAATTTGTTTGCCTAACCTAAACTTCTCTAATTACTGCATTTTAATTCCACAGAAGAATTTTACCACATGTTCTTTTTCGTCTTTCAGGTTGACATCTTTATCATAACTGAACCTTCCTCTGGACGCTGGGTCTATTTTGATACAGAAATCACCAATAGTAGTGGTAGAATCTCATATAACATCCCCAAAGACAAAAGACTTGCTGTGGGTGTCTATCCTATTAAAATGGTGGTCAGGTAAGTCTGGAAGAATATAAATACATTCTTAAATTATTGAGAGACTGAGGACTATGTCCTACTCTCATAAAATGTTAATCAAATTCTAGAGTTAAGAGTTTCTTACAACACAGGTACTTGAGGTTGGGGGAATTATTTATCACGAATGAAGGCAAATATACGTGGTCCCAGGATAATGTTGCTGGATCCAATCTGGGTCGGTCACTGGGACCAGAGGTTTTTGTCTTCTGAGCTTTCGGACACATGCTGGAGCCCATCTTCAGGGAACTTCTCTCTTAGCAGAGGGTGTGTTTTGGGCTGCTCTCTGTGTGTGGTATTTATATGGTGTCTGTTGTATGTGGCTTTTTAGATGTTCCCCGAGGATGGGCTCCAGCACGAGTCCAAAAGCTCAGAAGACTAAAACCTCTGGTCCCGATGACTGACCCAGATTGGATCCTGCAGAATTATTTATTTTCAACCATAATATGCTTATTTTAGGGATCATGCTCCGATTTTCATCTGTTTTCGTACCATACCATAATCATAGCAGAAAGCCTTGGCATCCAGTTTTACTGCTATATGGTCCAGAGCTGCAAAAATGGGACGAAATGGGACTTCTTGTAGCTTTGGGGGCACCAATTTGCCCATTGCTGTTGTAATGAATACAGAATTTTTATTACAGTATCTTAGAATACTTATAACTCATTGTTAGTTACTGTTATAAAGATAAACATCAACACGAACCACAGAAATCTAGAATCTTGCAATTGAAATTTGGTAATAAAAAATTCCTTTGGTATGCACGTCCTCGGGCTGATTCATTGGCAGAATGAACACATTGACAGATCACTGCGACCTGACATAGTCCATAGGCATTATGCTGATCCTGAGTTAAAACGCCTAATAAATCAGATCAGATAGATAAACTCAATAGAAATGATTTCATAACAAAACATATTAATAATAATAATAATAATAATAATAATAATAATAATAATATAAATATGTTTTGTTATGAAATCATTTCTATTGAGTTTATCTATCTGATCTGATTTAATCAGAAAGATTACTTGCATTCATGACGGTTGCTTCTGATAATACATCTCTGTTCATTCCTATAGGTGAAAAGAATGATGCTCTCTCCATACCATCTTTATAGTGGCACAGGGTCATCGGGTGACATCTGATGGCCCATGCTTCTTTCAGACAAAGACATTCCAATCTGGCTTGTGTCCAGGAAGTCTCCCAATGCCCTTTAGAAACTCCTCCCACTGACCCATTAACATGGGATGACTGACTAGCTAAAACTACATTTCCCATGAGCCATCTCTTAAGGCGACAGCACTTAACCCAATAAATGCCAGATATTCTAACATACAGATAAATGCTCTCTAGTTAGGGTTACATAGAGTTATATGATCCAGAACAGGCATGTCTCTCTCTTACAGCTGTTCCCCAACGATGGGACATGCAAACCTATGTGATCACAAAGGAAGATATGCTTGGATATTCTTCCTCTCTATTAAATCTTTCTTGGAATTTCTGTATCATTTGAGTAAGCTATGGCCACCGTTATAACTGAAAGGTTTTTTTTCTGAAGATTTTTTCTTCTGATCTCAACATAAGGCCATTTGAATAGATAGGATGGCTTTCTATTATGATATGTTTTCTGTGTTCCTTCATGGTCATCAGGGGAGATCAGAGTAATGCCATAAGCTACTTGACGGTCCTTCCTCGAGGAATGGAGTGTGTCGTCTTCAGCATTGATGGATCCTTCGCTGCCAGCGTCTCCATTATGGGCAGTGACCCTAAAGTCAGAGCCGGAGCAGTTGATGTTGTCAGGTAAAGGGCACCTCACAATTCTATTAAGTTTTAAATTTTGTTTATTTTATTAAATTTATTATAGCCACCTGTTCCAGCAGATTCTGGGTCGCTTATATCTGGGCTTTTCAACCTTTTCACCCATTGTACCACTTTTAGGATATGGCAACATCTGAGTACCACCAGTCGCCTAGCAAGGTGTCAAAAACTTGATGACCAAAAAACAAAAAGGAAAAAAGTGATAAAGTACAGGTAGTCCTCAACTTACAACAGTTCACTTATTGACTGTTCGAAGTTACAATGGCACTGAAAAAAATGCCCCCCAAGACACAGCTGAGCAAGACACCTGCCTGCCCGCCCGGCCGTGCTCTTCCTCCTGTCTGAGGTTTTCATTGTTGTGAGCATTTCTATTGAGGATTGGCAGCAGGGCTGGGGTGGGGGGTGTTTGGTTTTTATTCCCCCCCCCCGTCTGATGGGTGGTTGGAGCAGGTTTTGGTCACTTCACATGACCCTGGGACACTGTGACTGTCATAAATATGAATCAGTTGCCAAGCATCTGAATGTAAATCACAAGACCCTGGACATGCTGCAACATTCCAACTGATTGGCACTTCTTCTGGGCTCAGCAGAAGCACCAGGATCAGCGCCGAGCTCCAGCTGGAGTCTGACGCTGATCCTGGCGCTTCTGCTGAGCCCTGACAGCCCTGCAGCTCCAGCCATCTGTCTCTCAGGCTTGTGCGGTGCTGCCACCAGTTCAGCTCATTCCCCTCCCCCGCTACCACTTTTCTAGGATGTTCACGTACCACCTGCCAGGTGCCAATGTACCACAGGTGGTACCCGTACCACTGGTTGAAAAGCCCTGGCCTATATAAGAATACTAAATTAAAACAAGCCAGTTAAAACAATCACTATAAAACAGCATTACAATGCACACCCCGCCCAGCACATTTAACATCAGTCAGGTTTTAAGGACTTTTCAGAACAGCAAAAGAGAGGGGGTGTCTGTGTCTGGGGAGGGGGGGATGTTGTTCCAGAGAGAGAAGGCACACTTCCTTGGTCCCACAAGATGGCAGCCTTTAATAGAAGGGACCTGGAGTGCAACCACTCAGCCTGAATGTACCAGAGAAAGATGATCTCTCAGATAACCAAGTCCTATTCCATGTTGGGTTTAAAGCACCTTGAATTGTACCCAGAAGCCAAATGACAGCTAGTGTAGCAGTGGTGATACATGGGCACAATGAGAAGTGCCCATTACTGCTTGCACTGCTGCATTTTGAACCAGCTTCTGCCTGGTCTTCAAGGGCAGCCTTACGTATAGTGAAATACAGTAGTCCAGTCATGAGGTGAGTGACTGCCTGGACTGCCTCCTGGGTGAGGAAAGAGCATGACTAGCACATAAGATATATCGGCGCGAAGGCAAATTAGTCAATCCAAGTGGAAATAGCAAATGGCTTCCAGATAGAATTCCCGATTTGCTTTGGAAAGGCAGGCCCTTTTGTCTACCAATAAAGCAGTCAGGTGATAATCATTCCTGAATGAAAATATGCACTGGCATATTCCTATCAGTTGTGCCTTGGAAATATCTGCTTGTTACATTTTCACCACTTGATGGCAGGAGTGCTAGCCAAATAGCCCCAGGCAAAACTTCCAGGCTCCATGAAATAATATTAAACTGTGGAACTTTTTTCTTCAACTTGTATCTGCATTCAGAATTATGTTCCCTTGTCTCCATGATAAACCCCCAAACTCCCCCCCTTATATTTTCCTGTGATTCTCCCCCGTCACTAAATGGTCAAAACAGGAGTGACGCCACCTTGTGGGAGGAGGAGGAATTTCCTGCCTTTTTTTCCCCTCTTCAGTCCTGTGTTGACTGATAACACAGCTGCGGAGGTATTTGTTTAATTTTGTATTTTGACTATTTTAGAGTGTGCAACCATAACTTGTATGTATTTCCTCTCTCAAATGGCTGGGAACTTTGTTACTGAATTTTGTTCATAGGAGTCAGAGATTACTTTGTGGGGGCATAAAGAAATGGCAAGACCTACTTAGTCATAAACCATTCCTATGCTAAGCCATAAGCCATGTTTGATAAACCACAATAGTGGTTTCACATTCCAGGGTAAACCAAAACCAAACAGGTTTCTCAGTGGCATAAAACAAATTTAAAATCAAAACGTTAAGAATGGTTACAATAGCAATGAAAACAAATACATAAAACAAGAAGAATTAATAATATTAACAAATATAGGTATTCCTCAATTTACAACCATTCAGTGACTGTTTGAAGTTACAACAGCACTGAAAAAAGTTTTCCCCATGGTCACATGATCAAAATTTGGACTCTTGGCAACTAGCTCATATTTATGACAGTAGCAGTGCCCTGGGGTCGTATGATCCCCTGTAGCAAGCAAAGTCAATGGGGAAGGCAGATTCACTTAACAACCGTGTTACTAACTTAAGAACTGCAGTGATTCACTTAACAACCATGGCAAGAAAGGTCATAAATTGGGGCAAAACTCACTTAGCAACTGTCTTGCTTAGAAACAGAAATTTTGGGCTCAATTGTGGTTGTAAATCAAGGACTAACGGTAAAAGCAACCAGTAGAAGCCTGTATGAAAAAAAAAAGGCCCTGAGGGCCTTTTTAAAGCTTGTAAAGATGTCAGGCCCCTCAGAGAAAGTTTAGTCAAATCACCGCTTGCGGCATTGTAGGCAGATTTCCTCAGATGCTTTCAGTAAGGTTGGAGCTTCCTAAAAGGAGTTTTCTCAAATAATCTGGAATTAAGCATCATAAGGCTTTAAAGGCAATAATTTGCATTTTGCCTGGAAACAAATTGGCAGCTAGTGCAATGCTTTAAGTACAGGTGTAATATGGTCTCTTAGCATTATTTCCTAGGCACACCTGGCTGCTTAGTTGTGTAACAATTAAAACCTCCAGATGCTTAGACACAAAGGCAATGCCACATAGAACACATTAATGTGGTCAGGCCTGAATTTTACCATTGTGTGCACCACACTTTTAAGTCATCCTCTTCCAGAAAGGGGTCACAACCAAAACTTTAAGGCAGTCCTGTTTTTTTTTTTTTTTTTCCTCCCTTCAGTCTAGAAATTAGATTTGGCCAGAAGTTGCTCTAGACTGCCTACCTGCTCCTTCTGGGAGAATGTAATCCCATTCAGAACAGACAGGAATTATGGTCTCCTACAATAAATACTTGCATTTTCTCCAGATGCAGTTTTAGTCCCTTTTTCTCTCATTCAGCCCATTACTGGCTGTAGGCAAGCAACTCTGCAGAGAAATAATAATAATAAAGTTAGAAGGGACCTTGGAGGTCATCGAGTCCAACCCCCTGCTCAGGCAGAAAACCCTTGGCATTTCCTGAAGATGTAACAGAAAAGTAGAGTGTCATCAGCATACTAATGTCACTTATCTCCAAATCTTTGGTATAATAACCCTTAGCAGGTTCATGTAGATATTGATAAGCCTTGGAGACCAAATAGAATCCCAAGAGCTCCCATTTGCTTTAACAACTGTAGTGCTTCCATAGGCGGTCAGTGCTTTCACCAGAATGCTGAGAATAGCCTCATGCTGGAAGCTGCTTCTCTTTTAGGAGTGGATGCAATGTCCCACTGCATATAGAAAAGGAAGATCTTGCCCATGACTCAGCTTGCAATCTGTGACCCTCTCTTAAAGGACAGACAACTCTGAGCAACTCTGTTCAAGAAGCAGCACGCAAACTCTGTCCAAGGCAGAGTTTGTTGTCCTGTGGCTCCTATTTCTTAAATCTCAGTGATCATTCTAGTCTATCAAAATTGATAGTATCTATAGTCAAATAGAGAGCACAAAGAATCCACACCCTCTGTTGTTGCCCAAACAAAGATCATCAGGCCAGCCAATCCATAGCCTGCCCTGAAGCCAGTTTGAAATGCGTCATTATTTTATTGGATTTTATTTATCACATTATTATATTGCCATAAACAGAAAAACTTTTGGCAGTGTCATTAGAATAATCTGCTTCTTCCATGACTGGCTACAACTGATAAGCCAGCAGTCTCTCAATCCCTTTACCAAGCATGGTAGATTAGATACCAGCTTTTAATTGCCTGTCTTCTTAAGGGGAAAGCTGCTTAACAAATGATCTAGTTCTAGTAACTACCTTTTTTAAAATAAAGAGGCATCTGGCTTTGCCTCAGAAAGGCATGTATAATTGTAAGTAACATGTAATTACTAATATCATCTGGGTTAGAAGTTGGAAGTCAGGTTGTGCAAGGGTACAAAAAATATTGTTGCAACATGCTATCTACATCCTCTTATATTGCAAATCGAGGTTGATCCAGTTCAACTCTAGAGAAGGCACCCTCATAGATAACTCTCTATTAAAAAATACAGCATTCAGATAGCCTCAAATGAAAAATACCGTAACTTATTTGTAAAAAAACCCTAATTTAAAGTCTCTCTGAAGTTTCTGTAGTAGAACTGTGGGAGAAGGGAGGAGAATTCAGACCAAGGTGATTGGTAGATGCAATATATGTGGGGACAGAGGGGGAAGCTTCTTTGCTTTTTTTCCCCTCGTATTTTGGATCACTGTCTGCAGCTTTTGCAAATTATTTTTAATATGCTTTTTTTTAACTTTTTCATTAATATGCATAATTTATAAACTTTTACCTAAGAAGGAAAAAGATTAGAGCAGTGGCTGGGGAATTCTGGGAGTTGAGGTCCATATACTCGAGAAACACTGGATGTGAGAGAAAGTTGAAATTGAAAGTACTGTAATTGATAACATAGGGGTAAAAGACAGAACTAATTATTAAGAAGACTATATTAAATAATACACAGAACTGCAAATTTTGAAGGATAATTCATGTTTATTTTATTAATTGGTTCAGAATTATTTTTAAAATGCTATACATTTGCATTCAACTATAAGCTAAATAATTTTATCCCCCTATCTCTGACCGTTATGGCATGCTAATAACCATGGGACCTCAGCTCCTTACAACTTCATTTTCACAGCCATCATGTGCAATTCCATCCCTTCCCTCTTCCTAACCATCTTGTTTTTCCTCTATAGTTACCCAAAGTGCTTTTTCAAAAGGCATCTGGACTTTCTTTTTTTTTTTCCTTGAAGACATTTCACTTCTCACCCAAGAAGCTTCTTCAGAAGCGAAACGTCTTCAGGGAAAATCAAAGGAAGTCCAGCTGCCTTTTGAAAAAGAAAAAGTTGTCTTTGGGACAACTATGACCTGTCCTGGATGACTGAGAATCACTATAGACACCTCTATAGTTAATTTATCACATTTTGGTGTTGTTCCATTCTCACCCTCCCCTATGGGATTCTATCAGACAGAATAGTCATAAACTGTTTAATGATCCCAGCTGCTTTTCTCTTCTCTCTAACACAGGCATTGGCAAGATCTTGGCTACCTGATCATCTATATTACAGGACGTCCTGACATGCAGAAGCAACGTGTTGTCTCCTGGCTGTCTCAGCACAATTTCCCCCAAGGAATGATTTTCTTCTCTGATGGTCTTGTCCATGATCCTTTAAGACAGAAAACCATTTTTCTCCGGAATCTTGTGCAAGAGGTAATAGTTAGCTGATAGCCTTCTTCCTTGACCTTTCAGGAGCATTGAATGAGGAAGTTTTGAAGTTCGTTAATTAGACAATAATTAGTTGGATCAGATTCATGGCCAGGGACAGCCATAACATGTGAGCTAAGACTCCAATAATCCATAAGTTCATAGTTCAAATTCATGATTGCTAGTGATGCAGACTGATGGCATGGGTCAATTGGGGCATTAAAAATGGGAGCGATAGGCTATGGCTGGTATCATATTTTCATGGCTAACCTTTGACATTTTTCCCTTCCTCCAGTGCCACATCAAAATTTGTGCTGCATATGGCTCCATGAAGGACATTTCTGTGTATAATGTCCTGGGTCTTTCCCCCTCTCAGATTTACATTGTTGGACGACCAACAAAGAAATATCAGACACTGTGCCAGGTGATTTTTCTTTTTCTGAAAGATTTAAGGGACCTGGAAAATAAGAAAAGTCCTGGAGGCATTGTACAATCAACCTTTGTGAGATGAAATTTGTCTTCTGCAGCAGCAACAGCAAACCAGAGCACTTAGATTAGTCTTGTGTGCCTGTATGCTTCATATAGAAACATACTAAAAGATATGTGTACTGTCCTTACTTATGTCTTAGAATCATAGAATTGTGGAACTGGAAAGAATCACAGGGATCATCTCGTCTAGTGTTTCTCCAGACTGGTTGGGAAATTCTGGAAGTTAAAGTCCATACATTTTTAAATTGCTGAGGTTGAGAAACACTGATTTACTCCTACCCTCTGTGGTATACAAGGAAACTATGAAACCATTCTTGAAGAATAGGTGTTTCTTAAAAACCTCCAAAGAATTCCAAAACTTCATAAGTAGAAAGTTGCACTGTTGAACAGATAAGGACGATTAACCTTATATTTAAATACTGTAGCCTATCTGCTTCCCAATGGCTTCTAACTTATTCTGTTATGCACTCTAAATATGACTTTGGTTATGCCTACTAATGTTTGCTGATTTCAGAATCCTGCATTTTAAATAGATTAGCAGTCAATTAGATCAATTGATCAACTCTAATATTTAAGCATTTTCAGTATATAAACAGAATCAAGTAGTCTATCGGGTTTCCCTATTTTCCTCTAGCTAATCCCGAACTACCTAATGGGCCATGCCCACTTGGCACCCTGCATTCTGTGCATTTCTTACTACAAATGTAGACAAACATTACCTTCACCTGGAGAATCTAGTTTCCTGGCCAGTTACTTGGCACAAATTGTGTCTTAATCCTTATAGGTGGCTCCAAAGAAAGAGCCAGTTCATTGGTCTATTCTTGATTCACTTGTCCTAGGTTGGCTTTTAGTCTGGTTGGATGGTGTTTGGGGAGAAGAGCAGCAAAGCTTCTGCATTACATTACTCCCTTCCTTCATGCCATAGATGATGCTAAACATTGTCATGTTTGTTCTCCTTCTCTCCTCCAGTTTATCAGCGAAGGTTATGCAGCCCACTTGGCTTCCCTGGAGTTCAGCCTCCCTTCCCGGACTAAGAAGAACAACTCCCGCATGATCCTAAGGAAAGGCAGCTTTGGTCTTCATTCACAACCTGATTTCCTGCGCAAGAGGAATCACCTCCGGAGAACTATGTCTGTCCAGCAGCCTGACCCACCATCTTTGACCCCCAAGCCAGAGCGTGCCCAAAGCCAGCCTGAGTCAGATAAAGACCACGACCGGCATCTGCCCTCCATAGTGTGGATGAGAGGGGGGGTTCATAAGTTTGAGTCTGTCCCATAACAAGAGCTGGGATTGTACCACCAGGCCTCTGGCATCCTGCAAAGAGCTTGTAGGCGTTTGCTCTTTGAGTTGCACTTGGCAGCTTCATGGTTCAAAGTGATGGAGAGGATTGGAATTCACAAAGCTCTGGCAGCTTCTGTCTCCCCAGGGGAACTTTCTGTTTGTTCCTCTTGTTTGTATCCACTCATGAAACATTGAAAGTAGAGAAAATGATTTGCCCCAACCGTAAGAGGGTGATGCTGGACAGGCAAGTGAGCTTGTGTCTTAATGTTTACTTTGTAACAAAAAATGTGCAATAAAGTGGAGTGGGGAAGCTCCAGCTTATCTCAGTGAGAAAGGGCCTCACTGACAACCACATCTGTTTCTCGAAAAGGCAGCCTTCTGATGAGGCAGCAGTAACATCTGCAGTTCTTGGGGAAAATAAGAAACAAAGGGGGGGGGTGCCCATAGCAGTGCACTGGGGAATCTCTTGGGTGCCTTAAGCCCAATATCTTTTCATCCAGACAGCTCTATCACTGGCTCATCACCAGAGTAGGTCTCAATTTTACGTATTTAATAGAAGCATCTGTAGAGGCAACACGAATGTGGAAACCAGTGGTGAAAAAGTTGAGCCCTAGATTGAGTGTACGATTACTATTTTTTAGACATGACACCTATCTTCTGTTGGCCACACAATAGCATTTTTTGCTCTTTTTGCAGAAATCCTTAAGTTCTAAAAAAAACCTAAAGAGATCACCTGCATCCTTCTGCCACCACCATCATAACCCATAACCCATCATAACTGAAGCAACCTTCACTCCTGCTGCTCACAGTGTCTTATCCTATGTGTTGAACGTACTATTGAGCTTCAGGAGACATATTTGACTCTGTCCATATTCCCAATGCTTTAAGAGATCTGTCTGTTGCCATTTCTGAATAAAATATTTATCTCAAATGTTGAGAAGGCATCAGTTTTCCATATGAAGGGGTCCCATGTCAAAACCTGACATCTCCAGCTAGGCCTGGTAAATCCTTTAGAACTGCTGCTAGTCGATCTAGATGTAAAATGAGTTAATAGAGCAGTGAAGTGATTCAAAATAAGGAAGTTTATTTTGTTCCTATAAATGTATGTATGCATAACATACATACATTTCAGAAGTCTCTCACCTCTTTCTCCCACCATCAGATGCAGGGTAACTATATAAAGTGCAGAGTAAATGAAACTTCCATGCAACTCTTGAGAAACAGACTGAGAACTGTGTTCTGGGCCCAATCCACCTGACCACAGTGGAAGCTGAGCAATCCCACTCAGCCATAACTCTGTCACAAGAAAATACAATGGAAGAATGGCAGAGGGAACGAGTCAGAAGATGGCTAATGACATTGTACTACTAAATACTGGAATAGAGTACAATAGCCCATATTTCATAGCAGAAATAATAAGCAAAACATGCCTGTCATCAGTTCTCAGGCTTGACCAGAAAAGATAATAGCACGCAAGAATCTTACTGTGAATGGATTGAGTTTTTTTCTTTATTTGAAGTATATCAAAGATGGATGTTAGAAAGCAGATGGTTCCTACAATAATGAAAGGAGAATGAAATATGGCAAATTGCTTCATGGCTTAATTGTTGTACAATCCTGAGATTAACTATTTTCTTGCCTTTAATAATTCTGCTTTTGGTAATACAACAGTGTACCTTTCTTAAGCTGCAGCTACAAAATTCCTCAGAGAGTTGATCAAGGGCTTTGTTAAAAATTTAGTTATCACTGTCTGATGGCTAATGCAATCTTGATTTTTCCTGTATCTTCAAAGCCTTTTCTTCCTATGGGCATTTGCACCAGTTGCATTATTCTCCTTGCATAAAAATTTCTGTAGCAACTGCTCTTCACAGATTTTGAATCACTCTGGAATATACATCTGTTTGGCAGCTGAAGACTGCTTAGTTCCATCTATATCTGATAACCTGTACTGTTAGACTCCAACCGTATTAAATTATTACCAGTCTCTTAGCCTACTTTGGCTTCTCTTCCCCACGGGACATGATCTTTTTAAAACTATCTGCTTCCTCAGTTCTTCCCAGACTCAGGTTGTCAGCTTGAAGTACAGATAGAATATCTGAGTAATTATATGAGAGGATGACAGTCAGTGATTAACTTCTCCATTCTATCATAATGTCATGTCATCAAGAACAGGGTGGACATTTTTAACCTTTTCAGATTTAGGTTCATTCTGAGCTCATCAGATCATTTAATAACATTCCTTGCTTCTTCAGATGTTCAAATGGTCTCTTCCTTATTTTGCCATCTACAAATAGTTACCCATTAGTTCTCCAAGACATTATCCATAAATTTGAAACTGCTTTCTGATTGAGTGCACTGTTTAACCTTCATGATTTTGACAACATGGGAGCATAATTCTACTGTCACTAGCCAAGTGTGCATCACATTGGTTTATTTATCTATCAAATGCTGAGCAGCAAAGATGACAAGAGAAAAGAAGCAGGCAATGTAATTAAAACACCAACCCTCCAAGTTGACTTTGACTGATTTTGAGTACAGAAAGGGCAGGTGTTTTCTGCTTCTCTTATCTTACCATTCCAAAGCTTTGAATCTTACCACGCTGCTTCTTCATTTTATCTTTTGCTCCCCTGCATATAAAGAATGCCTCTTTAATCATTCTTTTTATTGTCTTTTTTCTGTTCTTGCATAGGTAGTAATAGCATATCTGCCAGAATTGTTAGATTCATACAATATATAGTTTTGATTGCTTATGCTGTATATCATCAAGTTGGTAGGTAAGCCTAAAATGGGTAATCTGCGATTAAGGCCTTTGTAAGAATTCACCTGTTAGTTTAACAACTGGTGGGAATTTGACCATAATGTTAACATGGCTTTCTTTCATAGTAATGTTCAAGGTAATCCAACTGCATTTAGTGTTTTTAGTGAACCCAGTCAATAATTAGCATCCCTTAGTCAATCAGATGGCATGAGTTTAAAAACCAAATTAGATGTAATCTACTGAGTAAGTTTGCTATTTTTTTAAAAAAAGATAGACATAGACTGTCTTCTCCAAGCAGTTGGGGATGCATCTTGGGAAATAGAGAGGCACTCTCCCTTTGTCTGCTTATTAGTCCAGGCCTCTGGATTAATATAAATGCTTCTACACAAGTCATATCAAATCTAGTTAATGAAACAAGTTAAGGTTGAAGAAGAATTCCCAATCATATTTTGCAAAAGTGCATCAGTCAGCAAAATGGGTGACATTATTGAGAGATTCTGCTATTACCTGGAGAAAAATAGAGAGTCTCCAGGGTGTTGTAGCAGAGTCCTTTATACCAGGTAATGCAGAGTTAAACACATCAGCTTTAGCTCATGTTTATAGTAAGGAACTATAGCCCCCAAATTGTAAGCTTGAATGCGGTGTAGTCCCCCATGCTTGTAGGAATGGGACAGCATAATTGCATCTTGATATGTGGCAAATCCATAAAGTGTGCAAATAATTTTGTAACTGAATTTAAATATAACCTGGTTTTGTACAGTGAGGTTTATTGGCACCTGAGAGATTTTAGCAAAACAAATTTGTTGATATTCTTCAAGTACTGTTTATTTAAAAATATACTCCTCTCTTATTCATCGCAGACCCTCACATTTAATAATGCTTCTCCTTCCACTGACTTAATTATTGCCTCAGGAGGTACTTCCAGGTTATTTATGTGATTCATTGTAAGCCTTGCTGTCCAAAAGTGGGACAAACAAGAATGTTCAGACATGACAATTAAGGGATCTCTATCAAAGAGCTCCTCCTTATCTCATTTTAGGCCTGAAGCTTTAAGACATGGAAATGCTGGCACTACATAAAACCAAGAATGTATTGTGTTGGCTGATATTTTCCATTCCTATGTAGGCTGCACCCACATCCTGTTACTTTTCTCTGTAGTTTTATAGGAGATTACCATGTTCTTCTGATACTTCTGAATTCATCCTGAAAAATGGAAGACTTGAAAAAGCAACTAGACAACAGGTTGCTTAAACAAGGTTGTGTTATGTTTTGTCGGAAGCAAATAGGATCAATGCATTCAGAATGGAAATTTGTAGGAAAACTGAAGATTTGGACAGTTCTAAAACAGTACAATAAAAAGGAAGGAACTCTTGTGGACTATCTTGGAATAGCAGTCTTGGTATTGGAATAATGGATGTTTGAACATACTTGGGTATTAGGACTGATCCTAAGTTACATCACTTTATGGATTTTGAATTCAATCTGTAAGAAACGATCTGTTGGATTCCCTAAAATTACTTCCATCTACCAGTATGTCTCTTTCTGAAAATAAATAGAAAGGAGATTCCCTTTCTCCCCATCCAGGACTGGGACAACCTTAACATTCTTAAATGCCTTGTTAACAGTTCCCTTTATGCTGCTCCCTCCTCCTATTTAAAAACTTGTTCTTTTTTTAAAAAAAACCAGTGAATAACAATGGTGGCTTGTTAAAATGTGTGTTGTTATGAGATGACATGTATATGGTTGTGCTGTGTGTGCATGTACACTGTGTTTCACATCAGTGCCATTGCTAACTTTGCATAGCAGAAGTTAACTTTTATATTACATGTTTTGTTCAAGGATTGGCTGTTCTGTTGTAGCATTGTGAAAAGACCTTTGACTCTGTTCTAGGTATGAGTAACACTGTTAATCCAAATCTGAGCTTTCACATTTAAGTAGCACTAAAGGAAATGTTGGTTGGAAGCCTCTGCTGATACTGAGAGGTGATCATTTTTGCTTGACCCAAATATTCTGTGGTGTGTCTTTTTTCTGAAGTAGTCTTTGAGTCCACTTGAATGTTCAAAGATAGACGTATCTTCTCATTCATTGGCATTTCCAGATCATTTCCTATTTTTATGACCTCGCTAGGTGGAAAACCACATCATCCATCGCATCATTTGAGTGCAGCGTCTTCTGTGTTGCACCAAGGTGGGGAGGCAGGGAAAAGAAGAATAGAAAATGATATTCAAATGGTGCTGGATGTGAATGTTTTGCCTGCTTTCTACACAGGGCACTTTTGCTTTGCAGGGTCTCCTTCCAATTAGCAGAACCATTATTGGGAGTGGTGGATGATTTCTACAAAGGCATTCTCTTGCAAAGTAAGACAAAATGGTTTTATAACAATATCAGGCAGCCATGTAGGCTGATTAAGGGTCATTGAAAATTGAGTTAATAAAAGCTCAATGCTGGGAGAAATTAACTATTTCACATTTTTTTTCTGCTCCCACCACTTGCATTGATTATTACTGTCTCCTATATTTGCCAAAAGAATGAACCCTTCAGACAGCAAAATGCTAGATACACAGTTTCTCCTATCCCTGTTATAAAGCTGGAACAGATTTGGTCCCTAAATTTCTTCCAAATTCTAAAGGGTTCTGCAACCTTCCAAAGAACCAGATACCCCAGAAAGCAGGATAAAAACCATTTGTGCACCACATTTGACATCATTTGCTATGCAAAATCTTTAATATTAATCTGCGAAAGTATTTAATACTTATATTTGATTTGTTTAAATTGTCTTGGAAAGATGACATGCAGTTGTTGGCCTATTAGATTTCATGTTAAAATGGCCCGAATCAAAATAATCTGAAGCATTAATAATTCTAAATATTTTCATATTTTTATTTTTTGAGATGATATTTCCAATGGTCAGGCCAGGTATGTTGGTTAATCTCTAGATACTTTAAATTTATACAAATCTTGGTTTAGTCAGTAGAGTGGTCATAGGCACAGCTGAGCAAAAGGTACGCCCTTTGCATATGGAGAAATCAATGCTTATTTGCCAGATTCAAATTTTTTTCCTGCCACTTTTCCAAGTCAACATATACCAGGCTGTTTTCTAATGGCCTTGGGAGGTACAATGACATAATTATTCCTCCAGGAACTCTGGCTTCTTTCCTTATCAGTTTTCACTCTTTACAATCATAATTACAAAATACAAAATGGCTTTGATCATTTTCCATCTAGAGATGAAAGGCAAAATTAGAAACCCCTTGTTTTCTGAGTTAATTATGAATATTGATTTCAGATCTAGTTATCAGCTCTTCCAAATGTGATTTAATCATTGAATTGGCTTTCTGTACTACAAATAAGTTAATTTCAAAGCTTTTTTAGGTTCTCAGCCCTGTGACCCATAGACTATGCTTTCCTGAATTGGCTGAGATGTTGATTTCAAACTCTCTTAAGATTGGTATCATATTGCTCTGTAGCTCTTGGAAAACCCTAAGGGTGAGATTTAGAGAACACTGGAATGGTTAAAGGGTGTAATTGGAAATACTGAAGTGCTTCAAGGCTTAAACTTTGAATTGCTAAATGTAGCAATACAGAGGATTATCAAGTATATAATGATGATGGATAGCCAGCTAAATCTTTATGGACGAGTCAGAGAGAGAAGGACTATGGTAAAAAGTAAGGAATTCTACCCTGCCTCAAAGCAACACACCAAATTGGCCTTGTTATTGTATTTGGAGTTGTTTTTTGTTAAAGAAAAAACAGCTTGGATTTGAAAGCTGCCATATATTTATACTTTTATTTATATGATTATTTTATTTATAGATCAAATTTGGAGATTGCCCATCTCCTTCACAGAATGACTTTTTAACACTGGGATGCCAAAGAATATGAGCTTTGACCTGAAAAATTGTTTGTTACAAGTCTGCATATGATAATGTGGTATTTTGAATTTTGGATAAACTCCAATAGCAGAGTGAGGGGTTGTTAGAATATTTTAATCACATACCCATCTCCAATGTACAGCTATGAATTTCTTATAGAGAAGCTTAAAAAGAGGGGGAGGGGGAAAGTGTTAACATTTTTTCAAATGGTATTTATTTTGTTTTCAGCAATTTTTAAAAGTTTTCTGACATAACATGATTTAATGTCAAATATCACACATTCTTTGCTTTTCAGTATATATCTTTTTAAATTCTTTCTTTGATGTGGGAGCATTTTTTGTTGCTCGGACCCACATTTTCTGATGAATTGTTTTAACACTCAGCACACCGATGAAATAAAGCACCAGACTTTCTTGTTTGAGACTAGTGTTTCTTACTGTGTATTTCCACATGTTCTACTGTGCATCTTTGGTTCATACACAAAAATAAATGTATTCATTCCTACTCTATACATAGTAGAAAAATCCATGACTGTACGCAAGCAGAAGAGGAAATAAAGCAATGTAACTTCTAAATCAAGCCGAGTTTTTAATTCTGCTACTACATGTCCTTCAAATCCCTTCCGTGATTTTGGATGAACAGATAGGGAAATGGAGGAATGGCCTGTATTCCATTCTATGGAATACCCTGCACATGATGGAGGTATGTGCGCTGTATTTATAAATAGGGAATGCCTATCTTAAGAGGGGAATAATTAGCCAAGCCATTCAAGGCTGAAGTTAATTAACCGTATTCACTCATTGTGTACATGCTATGGGAATTTTCATTGGGATTTATAAACCCTGTCTTTATGGCTTAGCAACAGGTAGAAAATATGGCACTGAAATTCCATGACAAAATGGCAGCTTTTCAGTGGCATTTTAGAGATTTTTTGCATTGAATTAATGTGCTGAGCCCCTGAGCTTTAAGCACCCATTTTGACTCTTCAAACTACCAAACTCCTGTCAAAATGTATGTTTTTAGCCTTCTTCATTAGATCCACCCCCTGTGATCCAGGGAAGCCAAAATGCTGTAATGTACATTCTTCTCAACTGCAGTTTGTTTAATACACTTTGTACAATGTATTAAACCCACTACTTATCTTAAATTGCAAATAACAGAAATAATTAAATTACCAAACTTTTTAAACTACAGGTAGTCCTCAACTTACAACCACAATTGAGTCCAAATTTTCTGTTGCTAAGTGAAAATTTTGTTAAGTGAGTTTTGCCCCATTTTATGACCTTTCTTGCTGCAGTTGTTAAGTGAATCACTGCAGTTAAGATAGTAACACAGTTCTTAAATGAACCTGGCTTCCCCATTGACTTTGCTTGCCAGAAAGTCGCAGAAGGTGCTCACGTGAGCCTGGGACACAGCAACCATCATAAATATGAGTCAGTTGCCAAAGGTCTGAATTTTGATCATGGGGATGCTGCAACGGTCGTGTGGAAAATGGTCGTAAGTCACTTTTTTCAGTGCTGTTGTAACTTTGAATGATCACTAAATGAACTGTTGTAAATCGGATGTCAATGCTGCTAACATTGGATGTTCCTGCTCTGACAACTGATGAAAATCCAGCCATTTTCTCCCTTTAACATGCTTTTCTTTACTTTTAGAATTCAGGTGCAGCGGGGGGGGGGAGGAGGCTGGGATGTAAGCTCAGTTAGCCATAATAATAACGCTGCCCATGGGAACTCAAGGACGAGCTGATAATGTTTTGGCGGGCTGAGGAGCTACGGAGAAAGCCCGCGCTTGAAGCTAATTGGGGAATGTGTTTTATGACAGTTTATTGGGGTGGGAATTGTACTTTGTTACTTTGTATCAGGGGGAAGGGAATTTAGTTTTTGGGTTCAACTATGTAGTGCCGATACTTTGTTTCACGAATAAATGTTCTTTAAGGAAGAATTTTGCCTCAAAGTTCTTTTGATGAATTTCATCTATCAGAACCATGACATCGAGGACTACTTATATTTCATACAAATTGGTTTAGCCTACTGTTTCCAGCATCAAGGAAAATAAGCATTGGCTTATTGAATGGCAGAGTGGGATAACTATTTCCAATAAAGCTTGAATAGATAATTACCTAGACAGGTTCCTGCAATTCTTTTGGTAACATGTTTGGAAGTGACTTGCCATTGTTTACTTCCCAGGGCTGAGAGCAAGTGACTGGCCGTGGGTCACCCAGATGGCTTTGTTCTCATGGCAGGACTAGAATTCACATAAAACTGCCTCTCCAATGCATAGGCAAGTAGTCCTGAACTTACAACTGCTTTTGGAATCAGAATGGGCATCACCAAACAATGCAATCATTAAGTGAGTCGTGCCTGATTTTATGACATTTTTGCTATATTTGTTAAGCGAATTACATGGTCATTAAGCAAATCCAGTTTCCTCCATTAACTTTGTTAGAAGCCACTTGGGAAGCTTGCAAATGGTCCTCACATGAACCCACAGTTGCCACGTGCTTGAATTTTGATCATGTGGCCATGGGGAATGCTACAACAGTTAAAGTATGAGAACTGGTTTTAAGTCCTCCTTTTTCCCCCATGCCATTGTGGTCTTGAATGGTCATTAAATGAATAGTTGTAAATTGAGGGTTGCCTGTAGCATTGTATTTGTGCCTCAAATTAAAAGAGGAGAAGGATCCATTATAGAAGTCTATAACTGGCCAGTACAAGCTACTCAAGTGCTTGAATAGTTTTCAATCCAACACTTTTGCCCTGGAAGCAGGGTGCCAAGATTTTAAATCTAGGAAACCTCCAACTCCCTTATTAGCTGCATTACTGGGAATCCTGAAGGGCCACTTTGGGACAGATTGTGCCGAAGAAGATCTAACAATGGGGTTGCTAAAAATCAGTCCGGACTTGATGGCACATAATCATTTTGTTTTCAAAGGGCTGGGAACAAGGTCATCAATTTTTACTCCAAAGATTGCTGCTAGCTGTTTGGAAGTCATAATGAGAGGCCAGATGATGTGCTGGCTGTCAGTCTCTCCTTAGCAAAATTATTTTGTGCTATTTTCCCCTGCTGTGTCCATAATCCCATCGGACTCATGGTTTTTTATTTATTTGGTACAGAGAGGCTCATTTGAGTAGCATGTGGCGTGACTAGAAATTAATGGTTTTTTAGAAAGTCATGCAGAGAGGAAACAAGAGAACCGGATTCAGTGGAGGAATTCCCCTTAGCCTCTTGCTTCCCTGAGGTCGGGTCACTCTGGGCCTGTCCCTTCCTCAGCCCTAGAAAGAAAAGTTGAAATTATCGATATTTTTGTTGAGATCCTAAACAGCATGGAACTTACTGCCCACGCCAAAGCAGCCATTCCCTATTTAGGTAACTGTTCCATAATAATCTGAGAAATGTTCAGCATCCTTCTGCTTTATAATGGAATGGAATGGAATGGAGTGGAGTGGAATGGAATAGAATAGAATAGAATAGAATAGAATGGAATGGAATGGAATGGAATGGAATGGAATAGAATAGAATAGAATAGAATAGAATAGAATAGAATAGAATAGAATAGAATAGAATAATATAGGGTAGGGTAGGATAGGATAGGATAGAATAGGGTAGGATAGGATATAGCACTCAAGAAAAATGAATACAAGATGGTTTTTAACTGGTATACAGGTAGTCCTCAGCTTATGACCACAAGTGAGCCCAAAATTTTCTGTTACTAAATGAGACAGTTGTTAAGTGAGTTTTGCCCCATTTTACGACTTTTCTTGCCAGATTTGTTAAGTGAATCACTGCAGTTGTTAAGTTAGTAACATGGTTATGAAGTGCATCTGCCTTCCCCATTGACTTTGCTGGTCAGAAGTTCTCAAAAGGTGATCACATGATCTTGGGACACTTTGACCATCATAACTACATGCCAATTGCCAACCATCCAAATTTTGATCGTGACAAAGTGGGGATGCTGCAACAATCATAAGTGTGAAAAACGGTCAGTGCAGTTGTAACTTCAAACAGTCATTAAGTGAATGGTTGCAAGTCAAGGACTACCTGTATTATACTAATGTTGACTGCCAAAACAGATTTTTTAAATACAAAAATACAGTTGGAAATGCAATAATCAGGCTGGATCATTTGCTCAGTTCTAAAATATGATTCATCACAGAAAGAAACAAATCACAGATATTAACTTTTGTTTCCTGCCAGGTTTTTTTTTTTTCTATTAAGCATTATATTATTACAAAGAATACGGAGCTGGCTGAGTGAGGTCAGAAAGAGCAGACATGGTTGGTGTCTCTCTCACAAGCAATGTCAACTGATGGGATGAAGGAAGCAGGCTATCTCTGATGCAGGGCCTATTCTCTGAAGCAAGTTTCCCCCAGAAACTTGCAGACTTTTAGACAATTTGCCTTCCTCCCCCCACTCCAAGTTCTGGGATAGCTGTTGTACTACAGTACCAGATATAGTTTGTCTTTGTTATGGCACACAGTTTCCCTCTGATGAGTTCTGTGCCATTTTTTTAGGTACTGTCTTGGTTTTGCGTGTGGGTGTGAGTGAGTGAGATGACTTTTATAAAGCTAAATGAATATTGGCTGACTTTGGTAATGACTGAATATTGATTTCATTTTAATAATGGTTTTAAACTGCTTAACTGATTTAAGATTACTTTTACATACAGTATTAATCTAATACTACTTCAAACATTATTATTCCAATTTATACAGTTCGTAAATCTTTTCTTTTTGGCTCTTTTTTCCTGATTTCACTTTACTGTTAACATAAAATAAAAAGATAAACATCTTTGATATCAAATATTCTGTCCTCCAAACTTTCTGGACCAAAACACTACTGAATACTGAAGCTTTAGGGTCCTGTTTTGGTTTTTTGTCTAAGCAGCTCATTCCCATCAAAATCAAAAAGTTTATCAGATTTTTATCCTGCCTTTATTATTTTATAAGTATTTAAAGGTGACTAACATATATAACACCCTTCCTCTTATTTTTCCCCACAGCCACCAGGTGAGGTGGGTTGAGCCAAGAGAGCTTTCACGCCTCAGGTGGGACTAAAACTCACAGTCTCCTGGTTTCAAAGCCAGCACCTTAACTACTACACCAAATTGGCTCTATTGTTTGCTGGAAGTCCTGTATGGACTTTTTGCATAAAAATGAAAAAATGAACATATGACTTACGGTTTTGATAATTTGACAGGCTAAATTATACAGTAGAAAGAAGAGTACTGTAACATGACATAAATTTACACAGAGAGGTTAAAATATATCTGTACTTATAACTTTATATTTAACTTTTCTTTTTCTCCCTTTCTATTAATTTGTTTAGTTTTTATCTTTTTGTTTAAAAGTTTTAATAAAAATTATAGCTTAAAAATGAAAAAGAAGGAAAGAGAGAATTGTGGACTGTTAACTAGAAGTTGATAGCAGATGACCCATAAAATAACCATAACAAACAGTATCCATTAAAGGATCTGTTTCAAAATATCCCAGTAACTATAGTAATGTGAGCCTCATCTACAGAATAGCACAGGCAGATCTATTTCAGATTTAAGCATTATAAAAACACAACCTGACCCCAGGTTCACACAAGCTGTTTCACATCTGCACAGATCAATCCAATGATGTTTAAATTACAGTATTGCACATAGATTCAGTGGCATATGTTGAAAGAAAAGAGTTCCTGACCATGAAGTAGAGGTGGTAATGTTAGAAATCCCAGATCTGCTAACCCTCTCAAAATAAAGAGTTCAGAAACTCCCACCTGTATTAATTACAATGCCACATGGTTGATACTTGTGTTGATAGTGCAGGAAGACAGACAAACCACACACAGCTGTGCAAGATCAACCAAGGTTTCAGCAAAGTGTCTTTAATGCTGGCCTTGGCTAAATGCCAAAGCTCAGAAGCTAAGAAGAATTTCCCATTGTCATTTATAGTGAGTTAATTAAAGTACAGTCGCTTTAAATGATTTTAAACATTCCTTCCCAGGTTTCTTGCCACCTGGGCTAAGATGCTGTTTGTGATAAGTGAGCTCTTGATTACTTATAAATAACCACTCTCCCTTCCCTTCCCTTATCTCTCCCTTGCAAACAGAGAAAACCTGGAAGGCTTCAACGTTAAAGCAGCATCCATCTCATACCAAAATCCCTATTGCATGCAACCATGTAAACAACAATATAAGGTGGGTTGTTTTTTAAGAATAAGTGCTGGAATTGAAGAGAAAACCAGGACACATATAGCGGTTTTAGAATTGAGCCATGTCTTATGTGAGTATAATTGAACCGACAAAGAAATAGCCCCAATGGATGGTTTCAATCCTACTTCCACACTGCTTTTGAAGGCCTTACTCTGAATACAGAGTACCTCCACAGCCTTGCATACTGCTGCTTCCTTGTCTCATAAGTTCCAGTGCATCAACAGCACAGACAATGGAGAGTATAATGGTATGTGGGAATGATCTTGGGAGTCAGGGCAAACAGAGACCGATAACAGGCAATTTAGCCTGCAGCAGGAATGTGGGTAGGGCAAGAGACTCAGGAGGGAGCACCCCTAGTTTCTTGGGCTGTATAAAGGGATGGGAAAAAAGATATTTTCAGATTTGCAAGATTCCATTAATGGAACCTTACAATAAAGTAAAATTAGTTCATCTCACTGTGTTTCCTGTCTGGTCTACCTTACAAGGCTAACCTCAATCTTGCAAACCTGAAAGAGAGGGATGTTATGAATGGTGGTTCAGGAGCAGATGGATGGTCCAAGCATCCCCACTCCCAGGGAAGGAGAAGAGCCAGAGCCCAGAGAGAGTCCTAGTCCATCTTTCAGTGAAATAAGAATTGTACAACCTGAAGGAGTTCTTGGAAAAGATTTCAAATATAGACAAGCAGAAGCATGTATGGATTCCATAAACGTGAGATTTATTCATACATTAAGATTCTGTCAAATATTTTTCAGAACCTTTAGGCAAATGAACTTTTAAAAATAATAATATAAAATATATAAGATATTTGGCCATAATTTAAATAAAATACATTATTTCATCTTCCATCAATGAAGTTTAAGTTAGGAATGTGCAAGGTCAGAATAAGAGTTCAGCATGTTCTTTTTTGCCCACATCCTAAGATTTTAAAAGCTTTGACTTCTTTCTTGGGGCTTTTCCAGATGAATATGGAGGAGGTGGGAGGTTGTCACTGTGGGGACAAACGTTTTATACGATCCTGGACCCATGGTGCACTGGGATCTGCACAGATCCGTCGATTCAGATGTGTGGTAAATCTGCAGAAGAGACATACGTGTGCATATTTAGTCACAAGCTAGAAAGAAAGCAATTCTCTACAATTGGCACCACACTCAGTTTTCAAGGGGGCAGAGCTTCTCCCATCAGTCACCCTCAAGGGGCTCCTGTTCCAAATTGATTTCATGAAATGGGGTACGCGGGCAGATGTCCACTAAATCTTTAATTTAAATATTTATGCTAAATGACTGATTCGTCTGAAAATTGTGAATCAAATTGTTGAACTAAAGCTGCACACAGGCCCTTTCAAGAGGAACATAAATTTAGATTTTGGTATAACGGAATCTACAGAAGGGGCGACAAATAAATCAAGATAGCAGCCATGGCCATGCAGTTGAAACCCCACCTCTTTATTAATTCTTCTGGGTGAAGAATTCTCTGGCCTCATTGTGTTACGATGGTTGGGAATGCCTATCCATAAGGACCACAAGTAATTTTACATTTAAATTAAATTCGCATAAAATCAATACAGGCAAATATGATTACTGCTGGTGCATTTCTCCACAAAGGTCACACAAAGATACCAGATGTTTCAAAGACAGTCAACATCACATTTAATATATTCAGGAATCACTTAGAAATTGATAGGTTTTTTTTAGTACTTACATGACAGCTTGCCTGGAACACCTGACATTTGAGCGTTCAAAGGACTTCAGGTTTTTCCGTGGAATAGGCTTGGTTACGTAGTCAAAACAACAGAGCCGGGGGTCTGAAAGATAGGAAAAGAGACTTGTGTCATTTTAATGGTTTCCCTTGCCCATCATTGAGTTTGAACCTGAACTTCTCACCTGCTAGTTCAGAATATTTACCATTCCCCTCATATAATATGGGCAGATTTTCCATGGTCTGACCTTACCATGGAGCATATTATTATTATTAGATTTATATCCAACCTTATTTTGTACAACTCAAGGTGGCATACATAGCTAATGCTTCATCCTCCTATATTCCCCACAAAAACAGCCCTAGAGATAGGTTGAATTAAGGCAGAATGACTGGCCCAAAGTCTTTTAAACAATGTGCTCTGATACAGAGCTAGAAGTGGAGATTTATATTTTACTTCTAGTTCTGGAAATTCCAAAGGCAAATTCAACAGTGAATTCTGCAGAAATTAAAAATGCAGGAATTCTCACTCAGGCAGAATACTTACCTACTTACTTACTTACTTACTTACTTACTTACTTACTTACTTACAACATGGATTCTTACTAGTATGTATCTATTACAGCTACATAGTGACTATGTGAGCCCCAAAGCACTAACTCCTAACAATTCCACCTGGCACTAGAGGAAAATAAGACATTTCTGCAGTCATGTGGCCAACATGACATCACAGAGTGCTATTACCTTCTCACCAAAGTGGTACCTATTTATTTACTCGCATTTGCATGCTCTTGAACTGCTAAGTTGGCAGCAGCTGGGGCAAGGACAGGAGCTCACTCCGTCACTTGGTGCTCAGATCTCAAACCTGGGCTGCCAGCTTTCCAGCTGACAAGTCCAGCATTTTAACCATGAGACACCGCACCACCCTCAGAATGTAGGTGGGATGCTGAAAAAGAGAAGAGAATGCAGTCTTACCAAACTGAGCCTGAGCTTGGGATAGGAACATAGCAGCAACCAGGAAGACGGCGAGGGTAGCCAGGGAGCTGTTCATCTTTGCTCTTGGATCAGATGAGAGAAGAAATAGTAGGTAGTAGTAGTTTGTGCACCTCCTGAGCTCCATGCTGAGAGGCAGAACTTCTCACGTTATATAGGCTGGTTGAAGAGAGGGTGGAGATTTGCTGGAAATAAAATCCACGCTTCGTATCTGAGAAATGATGACATAACAGTAAAAAAATCTGCTACAATCAGTAAAGTTTCTCTGGAGGAAAGAGGAAGCAAATGTTGCCAGAGAAAGGGAATTGCAGCCTGTAGCTTTGCAAAGCGGGTGACGCTTAAGCCATCTGAGCCAGGGACTCTGGAAATAACATTCCTGGCAGGAAAAAAAGTGGGAATGATGCTAGAAAAGCAGGGTCGCTTTTTCTGACAAGGTGTGGGAGGGTGAGGAGCAATGAAATAGGCAATCAAGTAGAGGAGGTTTGATCTCACTCGGATATCTCACTTTTTAAATAAGTTTATGCATACGAAGCATTTATCATTTATAGACTTTTAAATATACATTTACTTCGACAAGGGCCTCAGATTCTGAAAGTAATGCAAGGCTTTGGGAACTTCTGAGAAATGGTGGAAGAATTGTGGAAAACAAATGAGTTCTCAAGGGAACTTTGGCTTGAGTTTGACTTTGATGTCAATCCAAAGGTCCCGCTGAGATGAGCAGGTTTTCTCTGAGCTGGAATCCTGTTCCTGCATTTTCTCTGCCTTTCATAGCAGAGGCTGGACAAGCAGAGTTCCCTGCACAAGACATTGGTTAGTTCTCTGAACACAAGTCACAGAATAACAAATCTGTTGCCATATTGAAGAGAAGCCACAAACTCTGAAACAGCTGTCAGGAAGACTGCCAACCATTCTTCCTGAAGATGAGAACCTAAGCTGAATCATGATAACTTGCATAAAGCAGACATCATGGTGAATTAGAGGAAACTTCTGATGTTGCTACTTTATGACTTTCAAATGGGTAAAACTATTAGCCCACTATTTAAGGATACTCAATTATTCTTTGAAATACAAGTGAACTCCTTGGACGTAAACCTGATCCTCAACTGCATACAGGTAGTCCTCAACTTACAACTGTTCATTTAGTGATAGTTCGAAGTTACAATGGAACTGAAAAAAGTGACTGTTTTTCACGACCACTGCAGCATCCCCATGCTCACATGATCAAAATTCAGACACTTGACAACCGACTCATGTTTATGACGGTTGCAGTGTCTTGAGGTCATGTGATCCCCTCTTGCAACCTTCTTACAAGCAAAAGGAAAGCCAGATTACTAACTTAACTGCAGTGATTCACTTAACAACTGTGGCAAGAAAGGTCATAAACTGGGACAAAACTCAGTTAATAGCTGTCTAAATGAGCAACAGAAATTTTGGGCTGAATTGTGGTCATAAGTTGAGGACTACTTGTACTAATACAGTATTTTCCCACACAACTCCATAAGGCAGACATTGAATGCAGAACCTCACCACATCAGGAGCAGACTTATTTTTTTGTAGGCTGGTTCAAATAAATCTAATTTATCCATGTGAAGTTGATGCTATCTATCTAAATCCCACCCAGCCGGCCTCCAATGTAAAGACGGTAGAGGAGGACAATCCAGCCACATTCAGATTAAGTTTCAATTGCCTGCTTAAAAATAAGTATCCTCATTTTTTTCTGGAATATCCAGAATGAAAGGGCTAGGCATCTTTGAAGACAGCATGTTCCACAGCTTTGGAGCTAGTTTGATTAGTGGTTAAGGCACCATGCTAGAAAGAGGGAGACCATGAGTTCTAATTGCGACTTAACCATGAAACCAGCTGGGTGACTTTGGGCCAGTCACTCTCTCAGTCCAACTCATCTCCCAAGGTTGTTGTTGTGGGAAAAATAAGAGTCTAGTGTGTTGGTTGTATTCACCACCTTGAGTTATTTGTTATTTTGCTCATTCATGGCTATTGGGGGTATTGGAGAGCAATGTCAGAAAGATCCTCTTCATAGATCGCATTTGCAAATACATTCTCCAAAAGACTTATCTGGTCCCTTCCTAAAATTCTGCCACATTTAAAGGGCCAGTCCTTAAAAGCTTTTAATGAGGGTTTAAAGCCAGCTACATTTGGATTGCTTTGGATCTAATAATGGTGTTTAAGTGGTTGTTTCTCTTGTTTCCATTTGCTGTATTTAGGAAAATTTTGCTAGCAAAAACTCTTCTAAAGGTAAAGCTGCCAACTTGGAGAAATGTGAACAAAAATATACACCATTTTATAAGTTATTTTGGATTTTTACAGAAAAATAGTTCATATGCTTTAAATAAAACTGAAACCCCTCTTACAGGAAAATGTCATGAATTTGTAAAACAAGATATAGTGTTTCTCATTCTCACAGCTAACAAATTGCTAATTTACTTGTCAAAAAATAAATGCAACACACATGTGCTGGACTCAGTACAAACTTGTTTTCAGAAGCCGATGAAACAAATAATTCGCTGAATATGTGTTGACATACTGTTGTTCTCAAGTTCCAATTTTTTTATTTCTAATGGAAATAATCTTCCTACAAACACATTTTATAGAGAATGTATGACTATACTCTGAATCCAAATCAATTTTCTGTGTTGGGAAACAGAATGATTGAACCTAGTACTCCCTATGAAAGAATTTCTTCACTGGAGGAAAAAGAAAACCTTTCAAAAACTACTTTCTTCTCCAATATTTCAGGAAAATGTGGAAGTGGCAATCACCTCCCTAGAACTTTTGGGTTTGGTAACAAAAATATCCTCTTTGGGTTGAGCTTAGCTCCAGGTGACTTCATGGATTGCCATTCTTTAAGGCGGTCCAACCAGCACTATCCTTATGGAAAGATTACAGTAGCAGAATTTTGCAATTCTGAAAGTCTTCCTGCCCTGCCTTTGCTTTCCAGAGAACTAGGGAGTGTTGCTTCTGAGACACTTCCCATACTCCATCCCTTCTGTAGACTAAGGCATCTTTGGCCTGACTGCTGTCTAGCCTGCAGCTCCTCCTCCTGTCTCTCAAGGTTCTTCTCACAGCCCATCCTATGAACATACCAATGAACACATGAAGAAACGATTTGTTGAACACAGTGTAGTAATCTAAATAAATCACTAAATTATAAAACAAAATTAAGCAACCACATATATAGCTAGATTCATATCACTGATTAAGCCAAACCAAAAAGACCACATTATTTCTTGGCTTAATACAGTATGTGAATGCATCACTGTTTTCTTTCTAGCTACAAAGCTTTCTGACATTTGCAAATTTCACTCAGTCCCTTCCTTAAATGAGTAATTACCAAAATGTAATTTGTCATCCGTCATTAATAAGTGACATAAATCATTAAAAATGTCAAGAATTCTTAATTGGCACTTGAAATGTTCTTTTAGTTGTAGAAGCAAATAATGCCAATGCTGAAATAATAGCAAACAGATTAAACCCCAGAAGGGCACTGAACATTTGCCAGAGAAGGTCTTTGCTTTTCAGCAGACATTTCAGGCTCCCCTTGGCAAATATTCCAGCAGGCAAAGGATGCATCAAAGGTTAATAATAATATGTTTGCAATATGAAGGATACAGAAAAATTCCCTTGACACGAATTTTAGTTCAATTTGGTTCTCATCGGTAGAAAGAAAAACCACAGTAGCTTATACAGAATCCAGCAGATCAACCATCTCTCCATCTATTGCGAGATCTCTCAGACTAGTGATTTCTATTTTGCATCCAACTCAGTTGACTGGGAACAGATACATTGTCTATGACAGTGATGGCAAACCTTTTAGATACCGAGTGCCCAAAAACTGGCCCTGCCCCCTCTCCACCCCCCTGCTCCACCCCTGCTCTGCCCCCCATCTCCTACCCCGCCTGCCCACAGGACCACTCCACGCCTTCAGGGCCTGCCGCAAATTGCGCAGGCAGCCCAGCAGCGCTATGGCGGCCACCCTCTGCCCGTGTCCTGCAGCATCAACTGCATGATGGGGCGTGAGGGCAGAGTCTTGTCTACGCTGCCTGGCTATCATGTCCTTGGCTGCGCTGCTCCGTATGGGCCACGCTCGAGGGCGACTCTCCTTCAGGGGGGCTGCTGGAGAGGAGGGGGTCGCAGGGGGAGGCAAGGCTGGGGCAATGGCACATGTGCCTGTAGAGAGGGCTCCGAGTGCCCGCCTCTGGCACCCGTGCCATAGGTTTGTCACCACTGGTCTATGACAATATTAAAAATCTGATATTGACACAGGATGTTTTTTCCCTCAAGAAAAAATATTCAGGTGCACCAATCTTATTTAGGAAGTAAACAAACATTCCTTGCTGCAGCTGCCATCACTGACTAGATCTGCTTGCTCTACAAATATCATTACAGGGAAATAAAGTCTTGGTTTCTTATTAACCACAAAACCTATATTGTTTTGTATGCCTTGCAAGAGAGAAAAGATTTTTTAAAAAGAGACTGGACAACCATTTGTCTGAAATGGTACAGGGTTCCTGCCTATGCAGGGGGTTGGACTAGAAGACCTCCAAGGTCCCTTCCAACTCTATTACTATTATTATTATTATTATTATTATTATTATTATTATTATTATTATCAACAGAAGGAGAACCTAAAAAAGCAAATTCTAATCTATGATGAAAGGCTTGCTTAACTAATTTTTGAAGTGCTTCGTTTCTTTAGAATGTAAGGTTTTATCAGGCGAATGGGACTTCCTGTTCTGCACCCAACTAGTTAAAAGAAGTAACTTTTGGGTCATAAGGAATATGAATCAGATAGCAATGGAAACTATCAAGTGTTAAGGATTCAAGAATCAGAGTTGAAGAGGAAACCCAGAGGCCCAGAAAAGACCTTCTAGTCTACCTAACTTGTCTGAGGAAAGGCAAGGCAATGAGTCAGGGATCTCCACTCTTGCTCAACTGGGTCAAAAACAGAGTTAGAGCCTTAACAAGCATCCAGAAATAAATGGATTCTCTCCATAGACATTTAACATATTCAGCCTAAAACACATAAAATCATATTGACCACAAAATTATTTCTTGATTCCACCCCTTCCCTTTTCTGGCTAATGATAGTGGCTAGATGAGCAAAAATTTCCTTCACCATGACTCAAGGCTTCCACTGA